TTTCGTTTACGCACCTAATATACCAAGCCAAAAATTAATTCTACGATGAACCACGTTAAACTATTATATGAACAAGTATCGCGATGAAAGTGTTGTCGCCAGAACCTGGTTTAAGAAAATAGGAAAGACGGGCGCAACCTCGCAAACCCGGATCCATCTTTCACTGTCATGGAGCTTTGGGCTGGTCACCTGCGTACCAGACCCGAACCAAAAGAGTGCACAAGCATGGTAGTGCAAGCGAGATCCCCTGTTAAGAGTCCGTTTACGGAGCAGCCTCCCGACTACTCCGTATCCTGGCACGCACGAGTCTTTCTCCAAATCCTACTTACCAGGCAAAGACTAAACACGTCCGATATCTGGCTTCTCAATAGAAACCAGAGGGATCGGCAAACAGTCTTAGTGCACAGGCCCACTGCCCGTACCCCAAGTCTGTGTAGAGAAATCAGCGAGCAAAATGAATTAATAATGACTTGGTATGCACAATGGCTGATCACAATTTAAGTCTATTAATAGATAGACTAAAATTAATAATAAACGATGTGATGATGAATATGAATATAACAATGAATATCGAATTATGATTTAAGTTTAACTTACAGTAACTTAACGCAGTGGTAAACGCACGATTTGAAGATGTAGACGTGGATCGATGTCTTCTTTTGATGGAATAACTGTTTGGAAAAATATTTTTCATTATAAAATACACATAGAATACATAATATGCACAGTAAATAAATCACAGTAAATGAATCACAGTACATAAGAAGATAAATATCGAAGCCAATGGTTCTCGAACATCTGTAACATACAAGGGATTAGTAACAAGAGAGGAGACAACAATATGCACAGTAAATAGATTAATAATATACACAGTAAGTAAATCACAGTATAGAAATCAGAGTAAATAAATCAGAGTAAATGAATCACAGTACACAAGAAAATAAATATCGAAGCCAATGGTTCTCGAACATCTGTAACATACAAGGGATTAGTAACAAGAGAGGAGACAACAATATGCACAGTAAATAAATTGATGGTTGTCGAATGCCTGCAACAAACAATGGGTTAGTAACAAGAGAAAGGACGAGTATGAGACGCGCGCCCACCCTCCGCGACGGCTCACGAGAAAGTGAGGAAGCTAACGACGCTGTGATGTATTGGGCGTACGCAGGTTGTTCCTGTTGCGTACACGCTAGGTCAATGAACTGTGTGACGCAACGTCACTAGCGTGTTGGACCGACGAAGAGCACCGATACCGCGGCACGCTCTACCGTACTCTCTCGCTCGCACACCTCCCCCCATAGACCCCTGAAATTCCTCCAACACCGACGGAGAGCACCGATACCGCGGCTCGCTCTACTGCTCTCGCTCGCACGCTGTGACGTCACCCGATTCCCGGAATCCGCGGCCACGAGATGGCTCATTACGGTAAGGCATTCCCGCAACGGCCAAAAGGTAGATTTGATAAACTATTTATGAAACTACATCTATTCTGAATTTATCTGTTACAAATACACAAATGTAAGGCAAGATATAAAAACGAATAAAACAAGGACATGTAAAAAGTAACATTAATAAAAATGTCCATTAACAATGCATTTAGAATAAATTGTCTTGTACAAATCATATAGATACACGTAATATGAATGGAATATATAACACTTCATTTGGCTAATAATACTCAGAATTCATGCTTTATCGGTAACGTCGGGTATTGACACTAAAATGGTAACAGGGTTACGTAGCCCGATGAACGTGGGACAGAGAAAAAGTATTGGATGATATGTAGGTGTATTCCATACCTAGTCGGTGGTTATATCGTATACACTGAAGGAATAATTACAAACAATGCAGAATAATGAATAAATTAATGATTTTAAATTATAATCTACATGTTACCTAGCAAATCATTCATTTAGAATTTCTTGTTTTTTCTACTGATTTTTACAAACACGAATAGTAATGTAATTCATCGTAAAATCATATTGAATACGTTTTTCTGTTTAAAGATCAAGGACTTACGATCGCAGTGAGCAAATTCACTCAGGATAAAAAAATCGCGATCACGGTCGTGAATGAAGTTAAATCACAACCGTGATCGTAATTCGGCGATCACTGTGATAAATCACCGTTATTGATTTTGCACGCCATCTCTAGTGGCAGCGGCAATTTTTGCGGGATAATTCAAATGTGCTTGCAAAAATAACCATTGAAGAACAATTTGAGATTGCTAGACAAAATTTTTAATTGTATTTTATATATACGTTTTCAAATGTCAATAACTTTACTAAAATTGTCGTCACAAATTATTTAAGAAAGTTGTTGTTATTGGCATACTTATTTATACATAGCCCACGACATAACCTATACAAATTATAAATGTTATCATTGTAACGTGGAATTAATAACCTTACTTATCCTATGTCAGACCTTTCCATCTGCGTACGAAGAATTGTAGTTTACGAAAGACAAAACACGTAAAGGTAAATAACGATTTATTCTTTTTGACTGTAGGATTAGTTTATTAGATTTATTGCAAAAATCAATTTATTCTTCATATTCTGTTACACGAACTTATGAAAAAAAATATGTTTCTAAACACAGATTGTGTTGAATATAAACTTTAAACAGCATTATATTTAATAAATAAATGGACGATTATGAAATTCAGTAAAATTAAATAGAAGCTCATAATAATCGAATCAAACCTGTAGTTTTTATATCGACGTATTAATTCATAATTTAATATATTTTTTATAGTTTTGTTCCATTACAGTATATTACAATCATGGTTAGATTATGAATGTTTATGTAGACTTAACTTTTTGTGAGGATTTATAAAAACTGAAGTAACGAAAACTTATTCACACTACAAGGGTACTGTCAAATTTCAAATAAAATGAAAATCTCATTAGACTTTAGTAAACTTTATATTAGATTATTGGTAGTAAATGTATATAACATATGTTACATAAGAGAAAAATTTTTAGGAAAATGGGATAATAAGACATTCTTTGTAGGGTATAATATTATACATATGATTAAGTATAGATGTTTAAATACATTACTCAAGCAATGCTTGTGGACTCAATATCGTTTAAATCACATTAAAATGACTTCTTTGCTGGTTCCTCCGGAATCAGTACGAGGAATGACATGTTTGGATCGTTCAGCATTTACAACTACTGTGAAGTTACCATTTTTACGGTTTCATGATGTTAAAGTTTCAAAAGTAAGACCAGTCCTGAAAAAATATTTACTCAAAATAAGGAATTTCAAAGGATTTCAGACAACAGATAATAAAATTACTGCATATTTGAATCCTAACTTGATACAAAAGTTTGAAGACTTCTCAGAAAATGACAGAGAACAATTGTCAGGATTATATGAACAATTTGGGATAACAGATTTAAACGTGAACTATGATAATTGGCATACTAATGACTTATTAAAAGCTATTTTGCCTGAAGGAATTGAAGTTCCAACTTCATACAGTCTGATAGGCCACATTGTGCATTTAAATCTACGTGATATGCATTTACCATATAAGACAATTATTGGTCAGGTTTTCCTCGATACTTTACCCGTTGCTAAAACAGTTGTGAACAAGATGAATACAATTGATACAACATTTAGACATTTCACAATGGAGATACTTGCTGGTGACAAGAATACTATTACAGTAATAAAAGAACACGGTTTTACATATGAGTTAGACTTTTCTCAAGTTTACTGGAATTCTCGGTTAAGTACGGAACTTTATGCCTGCTGCTCTGAAAGGAGTTAAAGTGTTTGCAAATGATTTAAATCCTGAATCTTATAAATGGCTTAAAAAGAATTTTGTCATTAATAAAATAAAGTCTAATTATCAATCTTTTAATATGGATGGCCGAGAATTTTTAAGAACTGTCGTGAAAGATGATATTTTAAGCAGACGAGTTAACAATGAAGTTGGTTCAGAACATATAGTAATGAATTTGCCCAGTCTTGCTGTTGAATTTATGGATGTGTTTTATGAATGTTTCAATGAGGATGAAGTAAAGAAAATGTGTTCTCAACCCCCGATTATACATCTGTATTGCTTTGTGAAGGCAAACAAAGGAGAAGATGCTTGCAGACTTGGACAGTTGTTAGTAGAAGAAAAACTTGGTTGTAATTTGCAAGAGTCTTTGGTCGATTTACACAATGTTAGAAATGTTTCTCCATACAAAGAAATGATTCGTGTTTCCTTCCTGCTAAGTGAAAGAATTTTAAAAGGCGAGGAGCCAGCATTGAAGAAACTAAAACTGGAAAATAATTATAATATATCTGCAAGGGATAATATTACAGAAAATAATGGGAAAGAACAAGGGACCACAAAAGAATCAGAAGAGCAAGAATGTGTTCAAAGTAGCAACAGTTCGTAGCGTTAAGCTGAAAGCAAAAGCACAGAAGGTGGTGTCTAATTTAAAAAACGTAAGTGTGTTCCTACAAACACTAAAGCGATAATAATATAATTAAATATAAATAATGAATTAGTGTGTACATGAGCTTTGTTCGCATACAACTGTTTTTTTGATATTTGTATAATGTGAATATTGCAATTTTTCATGCAATTTTCCTTCATTTTAATAGTTGGATTTGAAAGGAAAGAAAGGAAGTAAAGGAAACAAGGATAAAACAGCTCAGATAGATCAACAACTTCTGGAACTACGTAAAGAAATGCATCAGTCCAAGTCTAAGATGAAGGTACAAAATACAAAACCCGAAGAAAAGAAGAAAGTGCCCAATAGAACACCAGTGCAAACAGATGCAGCAACATCCTTGGTTGGACAAATGCAAATTTGATAGACACTTTGTACCTATTATCTAAGATATATGCTGTTATCATGTATTAATAAAAATGTATAATAATACTGACTTACTCTATACAGTGTAATAAAACAATTGTAATTTCTATTTTATGTAAGGTTTCTTTGGAGAGATATTGTTACATAAAATAAATGTAATTCATGAAAAAATCGTTTTATTAAGTCGTTTCCTATCACCTCATTTTTATCCCAAGCAGTTATGTAAGTGTAATCACAATTACACATTTCAGATTTGAGTTTCGTTTAATTGATGATACCCACGCCATTGTTACGTCAAAGTTACAAAGCGTGAAAATATATACAAATTGTATCACGTTATTATTTCACATATCTTTCTTTCATTTCATGTAGGAGGACCACCATGGAGGTTCATACTGCCAGTTTGATTGTAATAGGAGATGAAATTTTACGTGGACAAATTATTGATACAAATACATCATACCTAGCAAAAAGTTTACAAGCTGCTGGCATTAAACTTAAGAGAGTCACCGTGATACCTGATGTTGTGCGTATATTTTATGATCAGTATATTATTTTTAAAAAAATTGTCAATTTTCACGTGAAATATAACTGATTAAATTATTCGACTGAAATATTTCGTGTACGTTATCATCGAATTTAATATTTTAAATGAAGAGTTCTAAATAAATTCTATAAATTAAAATGGTAAAATCATCTTGAGACGTATTTTCATATACTTTCAAGATTAAATGTTCTTAAAGAATTTTTATACATATAGTCTCATTGAATATGGTCTCTAGAATCTCACTACGTGTAATGTAGCCTTTTGTATTAGGTAGATGGAATTTCAAAGATTGTCTGTGATGCTTCCAAAGAGTATTCTATTGTCTTCACATCTGGTGGTGTTGGACCTACACACGATGATGTAACATACGAAGGTGTGGCCAAGGGTTTGGGATTGAAACTTGAACAACATGAAGAATTGGTTGGTGTTCTTGCAGATGTCTTTCCCAATCAACCCGAACGCTATCGTCTTGCTATTGTACCGAGTCCTTGTGAACTTATTTATGTTCCGTTGCAGAGTGAGTTAATAATTAACAGGAAATATTGGCAGTTAATTTTATTTCAAACGAAATATTCGTTCATTAAATATTTTAACTGTAACGAAAGAATTTTTTGAAATCGTTTTAAGAATTATAAATTAAATCAATTTCAGGAAAGTATGCAGTTATAAAAGCGAAGAACGTGTATGTGTTGCCAGGCTCACCAAAATATTTTGAGCCCGCTGTTGATGTGATAGTACCAAAATTAAAACACGGTACTCCTGTTCACTTTGAGTACATAGACGTTAATTTAGACGAATTATCTATCGTGGAAACATTGGACGAACATGCAAAACGTTGGAAAGATAAAGTCCTCATTGGTAGTTATCCACAGACAGCACCAGAACCATGTACGAGAATCACATTTGAAGGGGAAACAGAACACGTTTTAGAAGCAAAAGTTGAACTTCTGTATTCTTTACCTGGTCAAAAGTTACAAACTCTAGAAAATGGATTTACTGATTACCATGCAAGAACTGTTATAAAAGCAGCCGATGATGAAGCTCATGTGAAGTCTGCTTTGGATATCTTGCAAGAATGTTACAAAACGTAAGTTTTATGACAAAAGAACTTAAGGTAGACTATTTTCACAAAATAAATTTATAAAAACAATGATACTATTATTTCACTCTATATTTTTAGGTATAAACCGGAAGATATTTTTATCAGTTTCAATGGTGGTAAGGATTGCACAGTGGTCTTACATTTGGCCGCTGCTATTGCAAAATTACGAAACATGCCGTCCTTGTTATGTTTGTATGTAACAGCTGATTCATTTCCAGAGGTACTATTGGTTATTGAAATCAGTCCTATTGATTTCATTCACAAAATCACGCGTACGCTTTTCCATACAATTGCAGCCCTTATGTTAGAATGATTTTTTAAAATAATTTTGTAGGTGGATTCTTTCGTCGAGAAAGCCGCTCAGTATTATAATTTAGAATTGATAAGGAAGGAACGTCCTATAATTGCGGCGTTAAGTGCGCTGGTGGAGGAAAGGAAGAATTTAAAAGCAAGCCTGATGGGAATGAGGAAGGGTGATCCCGGTTCAGAGAACGTAAAGCCTTTCACGCAAACCGATCCAGGTTGGCCGAATATAATTCGTGTAAATCCTATTTTAAACTGGACGTACGAGCAAGTGTGGAGTTTTTTGCTGAAACACAACGTACCATACTGCTCGTTGTACGATCAAGGTTATACAAGTTTAGGTTCGAAGTCCACTACGCTACCGAATCCACGATTGAAGAATCCGAATAATTCTTCGTCCTACCTTCCGGCCTACACTTTGGTCGACGAGTCGACCGAAAGGCAAGGCAGAGTATAAATGAAATGTCACATTTATTTCCATGCGATAAAATTGTGTGAAATGGCGTGAACCTTACCACGACTTGTCTGTGCTATGCAACTTGAAAACGCTTTTACCAAAAAGACAAGAAATATATTTTACATCTCGTATAATTTAAAGTATACGATTGAATGCACAATTTACAATACTTCACTATATATTTTTACGAATAAGCAACCGGAAAATAAATCACTTAATTATTTAATTAAGCAGCACCTACTGGTTTAGGTATTCAATTTTGACTATAGCAAACGATAACGAAGTTCTGTGCATTGACATGGAACTTCTATAGCAATAATTTCTAATTCTGTAGTTAGAAGTATTTGTCGTCGTCTAATTGATCTCGAATAAAATTGAATATGATAACGAAAGAAATTTCTATGGATCTGTTAGTGATTATGAATATGATGATTTGTTGTAATTTTTATCTCTTGTATTCTTTGTAATTTATCTCTTCGCACAGCAACGTGTGATTATAAAAGTATTGCAATAATAAAAGACCAGCTTGTATTAGTTTTAAAATTCTTGCGAAATGATTCTCGTTCATTTCGAAATGTGTGTATGCACAAAATAAAATGTACATGAACTGTAAATCACGAGTATTTATTTCTATCGACTAATGTGTCAACTACCCTTGCCAATTGTATCGTCAATAACGGACCAATATAATCAGGGTTTTATTGCATTAGGCTACGCAAACGGTTGGCAGTTTCCCGTCAGAAGCTTTATCTCATCAATTCATTCAGTATAAAAATCCTTACTCTGCTAGAATCGAACTTATCCATCCAGATTTGTATATCAATTCATGTTTAGTTCACGTTGCAAGTTCTTAATTAGTTTAAGTTTTACGTAAAAATCATCTATTTACACCATTTATGTCACAAAAGGACTTCAAAATGGCGTCTATCGAAAACGTAGCCGTTCGTAGTCGACGAAATAAATTCAAATTCTGCTTCGTTGAAATTCCAACGTGTTACTTCGTAAAAATCATTTATTCAAAGCCATAGCAAAATCAATCTAGTCTACTACTTCGATCAATTGCTCCTCGCGTTATTGGCTTACATTATTAAAAAAAAAATATTGTCGAGATTTACACGCATTAACTACACTCTACACCAACCGTTCATAAAAGTATGATATATACCCCCTAATCAGAAGAAACATTTACTCGGTCTCGTTTCACTTTAGGAAATTTCAAATAAAAACTCTCATGAATTTCCCTTGCTTCGCGAATTTTATCATGGAAAAGACTCGTTCGTTTGATCAAATAACGGAAGGAGGCAAATACGTCGTAAATACTCCAAATTCGTGATTTCCGTGACAAAAGTCCCTATTTATTCTTATCGAATCATCAATTCCACCTGTCTTATGTATCGTTTGTCTATACAATATATGTCGTCGCCCGAGTTCTTAACTGTTCTAATTCAATTTTTCAACAGAATTTAGTCGATCAATCTACTTTCCAGATAGCATATGACGCCTTGAAGACGCCCATTTTACAACTATTTTAGGTCCAAGGCGCCTTTAAGCCGTCTTCAAGGTGTTATGTGCCATCTGGGTTGCGTCTCATCGGTCCTAAAAATACAAATTCATCATAATACAAAGCAAAATTCCACCTAGAAAACAACAAATATCGTTTGAAAACCTAACTCCGAAACATTGAAAGTTCTTCTTTTTCTCATTCCACATAGCATATGACGCCTTGAAGACGTCTATTTTACGTCTATTTTAGGTCCAAGGCGTCTTTAAGCCGTCGTCAAACCGTCATTGCGCGTCATGTGCTATCTGGGTAATGGTTGTATCTCCAAATACTAACATAAATGAAAAATTTAAATTGATAATAAGATAAAAATTTGGTTAAATATTGCAACAAACATCTATTCAGCAGATGATATTGCAGTGTGTTTGAATATATTACTACGTTCCTGGCTTCTATAATAATAAACATCCTAAGCATTAAACTCAGTTCAGAAACTACCCAGATAGCACAAAACGTCTTCAAGACGCCCATTTTACGGCTATTTTAGGTCTAAGGCGTCTTTAAGCCGTTTTCGAGGCAACATTGGGCGTTCATGTGGTATCTGGGTAGTGGAGATAGAACAATTGAGAACTAGGTGGAACGACGATGTGTTTCTAAATGAAACGAACATTTTGACGCAGCCCCATACCCAATCGAACCCACACTAAATAGAACGTTAGACCACAGATGAAGTTCGAGGGGAATTCCCCGTTTCTTGGTAGGTTACTCCGTTCGTACGGTCTTCCGTACATCGACTGATGATCTTGGTTGACCATCCTCCCCTCTCCACCTACCCCCTACCCCCCCATCGATGACTTTGACGCGCATTTTCCTGCTGACCAAGAGCAACTAGGGGATGATCCCCGGCTGATCCGCCGCAGCGAAGCCAGCAAAATCCACCCAGATTAGGGTTTCGTCGTTTTTACGGTGGGACGGAGGGAGGGCGGAGGGTGCAGCGACGAACGGGGTATAAAACGGCCGTACGATCAACCGTTATCAAGGTGAGAGGGGCTGGCGGACGGTTAAGAGAGGCGACGATGTCGAACGACAGCGTTCACTGGGAGGCGAGATACGGGCCGGCTGGGCCGCCGCGGATGCTCGGATGGAACGTACCAGCCGAGGAGATCATTCACATACCGGAACACTGGCTGGTCTATCCGGAGCCGAATCCCTCCCTTCACTATTTACTGGCCCTCCTCTACGTCCTTTTCACTTTTCTCGCCTTACTCGGGAACGGATTGGTGATATGGATCTTTTGCGCGTAAGTTTTTTTCGCCGATACACAGTTTCTCTCTCTCTCTCTCTCTCTTTGTCATGCTTTCGTGGTACCGTCGTGTGTGCGCGTGTGTGATCGAACACAGTGGGCCATTCTGGCGATCTCTGGCTGAATTTCATTCGAATAATGCAATGCTTGAAAATATTTCGTTTTTTGCCATATTTTTGTAATACAGACAGTGCAAGAAGTTTTGGTAATAGAATTGGAAACGTTTAGAAATAGTTCGTTTACTCATCCGCGAAATATTTAACCAGGACTGGATTTATCATTAAGGCGGCATTTCCATTCGGTGGTGTCGAGAAATCGATTGTGTTTTTTAATGTATTTTCTTAAAGTGTAACAACTCGAAAATGTGTTCCCGAAGTGATACGCTTCAATTCGTTGAAATCACGGAGTTATAACGATTTCAAGCCCAGATAGCATGCGACGCCCAATGACGCCTTGAAGACAGCTTAAAGGCGCCTTAGACTTAAAATAGCCGTAAAATGGGCGTTATGTGTTATCTCCCAGATAGCACATGACGCCTTTAAGACGCCCATTTTACGGCTATTTTAGGTCGAAGGCGTCTTTAAGCCGTCTTCAAGGCGTCATGTTCTATCTGGACTGAGAGAAAACGGTGCACCGCTGCACGAGTAAACGCTTTTTTCTCGAAACCATGTTTTCCAAATTGGTTGCCACGATGTCTCAATAATGAATTAACCAATCTACTTCAGCTTTGACATACGTATAAAATCTCTTTATATTGTTAACTTCTATATCATATCAATGTCTGCAATAGTTTTTAATTATCGCCTGGAGAAGTTGCAAATTTAATGAATTTTTCCTTTACATGGCTACCACTTTGTTGAAAAAATTTTTTTTCTGCTTCATAGTATTTCATAAGATAGCCAGTTTTATGTTGATTAAGATTATCTTTTTATTTCTTATTTTTGGTCTATGAATTCTTAGTTCTAAAAATCGTTTACAAATAGTGATGGGCACCATCGACTAAAAACTATCGACTAAGTCGATAGTAACCAACGACTACTTTCAGTCGACTAATTTTTTCAATCGTCGACTACTTTAGTCGCTTGAAGCGACTAACTTCAGGCGAATAATATTAGTCGCTTGAAGCGACTACTTTCAGTCGACTAATATTAGTCGCTTGAAGCGATTACTTTCAGGCGACTAATATTAGTCGCTTGAAGCGACTACTTTAGTCGATTAAATTTAGTCGCTTCAAGCGACACGCTCGAACTATCGAGCTGTTGATCGCTATTGACTGGATCTTGATTATTTTCTTCGCGATGCAAACGAATTGTAATTTTTCCATATATTTTTTTATGCATTACCAATAACTGTGCAAATTATTGCTTATAACCTAATTGATTTTCATACAAAATTTAGAGCAGTTAATTTTTTAAGTGCCAATATTAAATAGCTTACAAAAAATCGAATATTAGTAATTGTTTAAAAAAACTTGTTTACCACTTATATTTTTGAAATTCTATCTATGAACTAATACATTTCCAAAAGGTAAATACACCAATGGTGCTGAAAAGTTGATGACATAATCTATACATAACCTATAAAGCAACATTTCAGTCAACTAAAAACTATCGACTAAATAGTCGATAGTATGTTGCGACTAAATAATCATTAGTCGATAGTTTAATTTAGTCGATGGTGCCCATCACTATTTACAAATGACGCCACCGAGTGGGAATACCCCCAAGTAAATTAAGGGACGTGTTCGTGGCATCGAGGGAAGGTGGGCACCACAGAACTTTTCCATTGCTAAATTCACCGTGGACCAATTTCAACGTATCATTTTGAAAATATGCAATACGAATAAACTCTTCGATATAGATTCAGGATGCATTGCTTCTTCAGATTTGGTGATATTGAAAATTTTCTTGAATACAAATAATCTGTTCTCTTGGTCCTAAAAAATACGGGCCTGACAAAAGTTATGACAAAGGTACGATGGAATTACAGTTTGACCAGGAATTTTTGGCAGCCACTGTACAAAATTTTTGTACGAGATACTAAAAAAATGCAGCGAGTGGATTAGAAGATTATGTATGATTTTGAGAATCTGAAAATTTTGCAAATACACGTGGACATTTGTGAGTTATTAACAATTGAAAATAATACGTTGAATTGAAGTTAAGTTATATTTAAAAAAAACTAGTTCCAATTTTGCACTTCACAATGTTATACTTTGAAACGGTATAAAGAAAAGTATTCTCGTGTATCCGTAGTAATATTTTCTGTTTTGTGTAATTCGTATATTAGTATTATTCATAAAAATCACGTCTTCTTGTTACTTCAAGAAAAAATATTATTTGTTGAAATATCAGAGGAGCATGTTAAAAAGTTTTTGTTTTTGGAAATTAAAATATTTTAAAATAATAAATATAAAAACATTATTTTTAAGTAACGTTTCCTCGAATAAAAAGTGTTTACAAAAAATTTTTGTTATTAAAATAGAGTATCACTAGAGCTACAACTTTTGTCTTAAGTATTTCCCAATTAGACGTATCAATTGTGTCCTAGAAATTAAATTGCGTGTAGATTGCCATTCTGACCCACTGTTCGTCGCTGGGAGGATTAATGTCGTTTCTCCATAGTGTGAGAGACGCGATATCGTAATGTCCGGTTGCGTAAACCATTTTGGCGAACATCGAAGCTTCACGAACAGAAATGTCTTTCCTTTCCTGTTCGTTATTCTCCGGTTGAAGAAACAAATTGTTCGAATAATAATAATAGTTCATGCATGACGCACGGTAACACGAAACGGAGATATAAAAAAATATAAATAATAATTATAATAAAACATTTTCAAACTGCCAATTTTATACGTCATAAAACCGTAGAAAACTAATTTTTTAAATCCATTTTACTTTTTTTAATTATTTTATTTGAAAAAAAAAGTTTGTCTATATGCAGAACAGAACTGCAAGCAAATCGTAAGCTAATTGTATGGTGAAAACTTTTGAAACAATTATTATTTCTGTTTAGAAGTACAATAGTGCAACTTCTTCACAATTTTCCCATTTTGAACACGTAAAACCTCTGCATTTGAATAATTTACATCTCCATTTTCGAATCTCGGATTGTAACCCAACGTCTAGCTTGGTCTTGCTATTTTTCTAAAAATATTTCTATTTGTGAGAAGATTGTCCGTCTATTCGCATATATACAGACTCCTCTCGATTAGCGTAGAAAATAATTACAGAAAGTATATGAGGTGGTCCAAGTACAAACTAGGGTCTAAATATGGGTTAGTTGAAAATATAGGGTTATGTTAGGCGCTTCACCGTAACAGGAATAGCGATGAAACTACGACTCAAAAACAAAAGAAAACATGTTTACGATATCTCGAAGTGTTTACATCTTAAAAAACCTTCGACAGGTTTGACAATGAATCCTGAACGTAAAATACCTGGCCCATATTTAGACCACCTACCTCTATGCGCACGTTTTAATTGTCTGTTCTTCTGGTTTGTTTCACCATCTTAAGCGCCAAGTCGTTAAGGACACCGTCGAACATGTTCGTCGTGAACCTCGCGATATGCGATTTCTTCATGATGATCAAGACCCCGATCTTCATATACAACTCGTTCAACACCGGTTTCGCGTTGGGTCATTTGGGATGCCAGATATTCGGCTTCATCGGTTCCCTGACCGGCATCGGGGCCGCCATCACGAACGCGGCGATAGCTTACGATAGATATAGGTACATACAATGGTTTCTTCTGTGACCTTTACAGATAAAGACACAAAAACCGAAGCAATACAGTAAATCAACGATGAGTGTACGAAGGTTCCCACATCAGTTGTATAATCGTTAGTTTTTAGGTTCTATATAAATTCCAAAACGATTATAGAACCGATTATCGTAACGATTGTACAGAATTCTGCAGTAAATGAAATCGCAATATATTCCAGTCATAAATTACTATGTACTTATAAGTAAAATTCTTGAAAATCATTGTGAATAAGTAGGTAAATATATGTACACCCTGTATATACAATTATGTTGTAACGCGAAAAGTGTTCGTTAATATAAATTTTCAACTGCTTAACAAAATTTTACCATACTTCGCAAAAAAATTATGTTTATATATATATGCAGTGATCTATAAACGTAATGTATTGTGATTTCATTTATTGCAAAATTCTGTGCAATCGTTACGAGAATCGGTTCTATAACCTAAAAAATAACGGTTATAGAACTGATATGGGAGCTGATATAAGAACCGTAATTGAAACTTGATGTAGTCTGAAATTTAGGTCCTTCATAACAGTTATTCAGAATGAAAATTTTTCATAACTCTTCCAATCGAAATTGTTATACAACAGTTTGAAACAGTCATTTTCAGAACCGTTTCAATCCTTGGTGCCAAGCAGCTTTCGAACACTCATCGATGATTTACTGTATACGTACGAACACTCATCGATGATTGACTGTACACATACTTATGAGCAAGAGTCTAGTCGTTGGGTTTGTTTGTGACGACTCAATTTTTCTTTTCTTCTATTCCCAGCACCATAGCAAGGCCTCTTGATGGTAAACTGTCACGTGGTCAAGTGATGCTGTTTATCGTGCTGATTTGGACCTACACAATACCGTGGGGTCTGATGCCGGTGATGGGTGTCTGGGGTCGTTTCGTACCGGAAGGTTTTCTAACCAGTTGTACCTTCGACTATCTGACCGACACTAGCGAGATACGGATCTTCGTCGCCACCATATTCACGTTCTCTTACGCGATCCCGATGTTGCTTATAATTTACTACTACAGCCAGATCGTCAGCCATGTCGTGAACCACGAAAAAGCGTTACGGGAACAGGCGAAGAAGATGAACGTCGACAGTTTGCGAAGTAACGCTGGCACGAACACCCAGAGCGCGGAGATTCGTATAGCAAAGGTATTTTTCGTTCCGTTTACAGACCCCTTTCGTTTATCGTCTGGCTTGTTCTACACGATTATTGTCCAGGGGTTATCCCCACTACTGGAAGGGAACCTGTCAAGCGCAACGTTGTTGCCCCTCCGCTTCCCAGATAGCACATGACGCTTTGAAGACGGCTTAAAAGCGTCTTAGACTTAAAATAGCCGTAAAATGGGCGTCTTCAAGGCGTCATGTGTTATCTGGGTTTTATTGCCGAAGTTCGGACCGCGGACATAAAATGAATTTACGAGGGTCTAAAGCATTTCTTCCTATAAGATTATTGTCGCGGCGCGGACCCGAGTTCGGGACGATAATCGACAGAAGTCTGTACAGTGAATCATCGATGAGAGTCCTGAGTTTCGAATTTCCAAGCCAATGATACTTGTTTCAGTTTCATACAGCCATCAGTTTATGAAATACTTAATGTTTAGTATCGAGGAGCCTTTGAACACTCATCGATGATTTACTGTACGGACACCCACGTACTGACGCGTTAGTCTTTTTTTTTTAATACTGGTAACTTCGGAGTTACACTGTAAATTAAGGGAAGTATTTGTACGAAGAACCAATTATTATGTTCGTAGAGAAGATTAAAAGTTACGAGATATACTGATCATAGAGCGTGGATTAGGATCGGGAGTTTAATTGTAATCAGAACTGACCTGGGAGTCGTAACATTTTGGCTGTATCAATGGTATGTCGATGTGGAATTGGAATATAGAAGTAAATTGAAAATTGAAAATATAAGTATAGAATTTTTTCGAAAAATATCGAGGCTCATTGTCGTGAAAGATTTAATGTAGTTTCTCCCTTGAAGAAATACAGGGAACAGTTCCGGTAATTCAAGATGGCGGCGGACAAAGTGTCTGGAATGTCAATTTTCGAGAAGTCTTCACGTCGAGGAAGCGGAAACAGCCGTGTGCCGACAAATTTGACGAATTACGGGGACAATCAAGGTGCACGACACTTTTAACGGCCGAATAATCGCACAGTCGGATGATTCACGAGATGAAAGGTTTCAGGCCGTCGGTCTTCCGCCATCTTGAAATATTTCCGTAGCTTGTTCCATCGTGAAAATGATCGCAATGTTACGAAACATTGTTTTAATCTGTATTTGGAAAATTTGTCAACGTGGTAATAGAATCAGGCAACCTACGTTTGCATCTACAAGGACGAAGTATAGTTACTGTTCAATAATATGTCTGGATCAATCGAACCGTATAAAAATATATATATTAGGTGTACCAATAAGTAATTCAATTATTGCTCACAACTATTCCGTTATACGTATTTTAACTGAAAAATGTATTCCAGACTTTTTACTCGCGTAATCTCTTTCGCGTCCGTGAATATTATGGAACGGTCTGTATACATCTTTGTTTTCCACAGGAACGAACAGCGATATTATGAAAGAAAATATTTATCAGTTTGTTTTGGTACACCTACATAATAATATTACGCTCTGTACAAACCAATTTAAGCTTCTCTTGCAAAGTCGATTGATCTGTAACCTCTGTTAATAATCTTAATGTTCATAGGCTGCCATCACCATCTGCTTCCTGTTCATTCTCTCGTGGACCCCGTACGGCGTAATGGCGATGATTGGCGCGTTTGGCAATAAAGCTCTGCTGACACCCGGAGTCACAATGATTCCAGCGTGTACGTGCAAAGCTGTTGCTTGCTTGGACCCGTACGTGTATGCTATCAGCCATCCAAGATACAGGTAAGCTTAAAGGTCACCAAGAATCGTATTTAATCCGGTTTACAACGGACGACGTACCCTCGTACGTCAAAGTCTACTTCTCTTACTGCCCCAGGTATTTGGGCCCCAGTTAGGGTTAGGTTACCCTTTTGACTCACCTCCCCCTTTTCAGTGTTTCGTTATTCAGCGCTACCTTCGAGTAAACTATCTCTATTAGTAAAGTTTCAAAGTGTAGCTGTGCGTGTCATCTTTGAATCTTGGAAGATCTAGGGGACGGAGGTGTGTAGTTATCTCATTTTCTTTATTTTCAATCTAACTTTCCAAGATTCAAGGATGACATGCACAACTACACTTTGAAATTTCGCCAACCCCGTTTACCCAAAGGGGGCGCTGAACAAGGAAACACTTTGAAGAGGGAGAGGCAAGCGAAAAAAGATTGGGAAACTATGAGTTAACCGAAGTTACGTTAACCTCCTCGTTTTGGCTCAAATCATCAAAAATTCCAACTCCGAAACACGAAATCATCCAACGCGAATCTAATTTCTTCGACGATTATAACGATTTCCACAATATCGACTCTCTCTCTCGTCGATAACGTAGATAGTCTGCTTGACCATCTGCCGATAAAAGAAGAAACTACCATTACCACAGGGCGCGACGTGGACATCTCAAACTCGCGTGCATACGTAACCGTAAGAATTCGAATTCCGTACGACAAACGGGAAAGCAATTTACCAGCTAGCTTCGAGCAGACCTTCGAATCGTTCGTCGAGGATCGACAATAATAATATAATATTCCGAACACAATCACTGAGGAACATTTAAATTGAGACGGTGTTGTTTGCGACAGGTTGGAGCTGCAGAAACGATTACCGTGGCTCGAGCTGCAAGAGAAGCCGGTGTCCGACTCGCAGAGCACCACGACTGAAACCGTGAACACACCGCCGGCCTCCAGCTAGACCTCGACCGAAGCACGTTTGTTTCTGGTAAACAAACGTTTGGGGGACGTGAAACTACATTTGGCACTCAGGCGACGCTATGTTTTCACTTTGTTCAAAATACGCGATCCTTGTATAGCGAAAGCAACTGCAATAAAGCAACTTCCTGGCACGCTTGGTCCCCCGGTTTCTTGTCACTTTGATATGGTTATTAAAAAAAAAAAAAACAATTTCGTTAGACCGAAAAATCGAGGAATGGGAACCGTTCGTTCGGTCGCACGAAGTCGCTAACGAGGAACGAGCTTGGACACAATCGGATGGGATATCACGCCGATGATCACTGAAGAGGCGGTTCTCGTTAAGGAACAAAAACTGACAAATTGCAACTTTATTTTCGCTTATGCATATAACTACTCGCCTTATAGCTACGATTCTAGGCCTTAGAAATCCGAGAAACAAAACCGAAACGATACCATGAATGTCGACTAAATCTGATCGGCCAGCGCTTGGTAAACGTCCCCGATTATCACGACGGGGAGGATCGTTCGTTACGTGTTAACTAGATCGCGTAATCGAGAATTGACTGTGTGTTTGTTGCTTTTTTTTCTCTTTCTTCTTTTTTTTTTGGAAATCAATCGGACACTACAATTTCGAAGGCGTAGACGGAAATCGTTGTCAATGAGCAAGATATACCTCCCTGAACCACAAGACGAGAATGTGGGCGGGGTTTGTCGATTTCGTACAAATTTTCATTTCGATAACATCGCGAGAGTAAACAATGTAGGAACGAAAAAAAAATAATAAACGGGCAGGGAAATCACGGGAGAAAGATCGGGACAACACATCGATTTTGCGCGTTTCGATTTCTGTTTTGTGCCCGATCGATCGTGAACAGGATAATTATTGTCGTGGCCAATCGAATCGACGACAATAAGTATCGCGGTTCGTAACGGAAGTCAGCTTCTTCGAACGGGAAAAGAATGTCTTTTTCTGTTTCCGCTGTCGTCTCGAACCAATTCCGGGCTATCGTCGCACCGTCGCCATCTTGGATCACCGGCTGAGCCGCCATCTTGGATTACCGGCCGAGCCGCCTAGATGGCCGCACGAAATCGCATTTCCTAACGGTTTTTGTGGCTCGCTCGCTCGCTCGCTTTTGTACTATGTCACCGCTAACTGTGCTAAATATACAATTACGATAATAAATTAATAGATCACGGTTCTGTACACTTCCCTAGGAACTTTCTACATTCGGCTATGTTAAATTCACAGAAGACATTGATTTACTTCCGGAGAACTCGAAGCGGTTACGAGATGTATCGCGACTCGATTGCCGTGCGAAGGTCCATTTACGTAAAGGCGTGTGTCGTGTGTAGCGATTGTAAACGAAACATTTAATTTAAAACGTTCGATTGTAAACGAAACTGCCGCGAATACAACATCACACATGTCGCTCACGGTTGTACGAATTTTGATTATTCGTATTCCGTTTTCTCGATCACGAAACCCACATAGCAAATGACGCCTTGAAGACGCCCATTTTACGGCTATTTTAGATCTAAGACGCCTTTAAGCCGTCTTCAAGGCGCCTTAGACCTAAAATAGCCGTAAAATGGACGTCTTTTAAGCGTCATGTACTATCTGGGAATACAATATTTTGTTTCGTTTAGACTTGTGCGTGTAGCTTGAACACAAGACGAGGAACGATCGAAATTGTCGTAGAAATGTCCTTGTAAATGGACCTTGACAGGTTACGAAAAAACGATATAACGCTCAGGACAGACGTGAGAACACGCGCGACGTCGGCTCGAACGACCCCATCGATACGGGATTCGCACGAATAATAAGTACAACGCCATAACAATATGAAACGATCAATGTTATTTCGTACGCGGGGGGGCCATTCTGGAAGTTTTCAATAATAAACGATGAATCGGTCTCTCGCTGCGAAACCCGTGAAAATGTTAGAGAATAACACGCCTGTCCTTTTCAACTGAAATTTAGGCAATAGTGTTTTAGATTTTCTTCAAACTTTAATGCGTTGAAGAGGCTTTGTCTAAAAAGGCAAAATATCATTTTAAAAAATGTCGCAAACAATTATAAGTACCTTTAATTTCAAGTTAAATTTGTAACTGTAACCTAACCTAAACGTCACTATAAATGTAGATTAAGTGAAAGAACATAAGCTGTAAACAGTAAAAAAGAGATATAATTGTTTATTTTCAAAGCATTATACTGATCAGAGTTGGTTAGAGCTAGTTTAATAAAAAAAAATTTTTCAGAATTGTTTGCGACATTTCTTAAAATGATATTTTGCTTATTTAAAGAGCCCCTTTCAACATAATAAAGTTTGAAGAAAATCGGAGATACCGACTTTGTACACTATTACCGAAATTTAATATAAGGACCACTTGGTTACAATGGGTAGTAAGGTTCAACAGTTATCGGCTTAATCGTGATAGACTCGCGAAAAATGAACGGAACTATTCTGACCTTTTCCCATTATTTACAAAATATTCTCACTCGTTATTCCTGTAAATATGTCGATTAACACGTTGACTGCCACAGTGGAAAAGACAGTACGTAGTCAGATACACTTTATTTCGTTTTTAAGTCATAAATCTTTGAAAATATATGCGTTTAATTAATAGAGATTGGTTGTCTTGTTTTAAATTATACTGTGATATTAATCTTATGTCAAAATTTTGTAGAGGTATTTAAATAATCCAGCATGTTTGCAATGTTTCAAGTACGAGTTATCTCGAAGCTGGCAGTCAACGTGTAAGTATACCCTAAAAATTGTGATCGAAGCGAAACCTTGATTTCCAGAACAGCCCGCCCATCGATTCGTATACAATGTCGAAAATAACGATAAATATATTAAAAAAGTACTCGAGGCGTGAACTTTAGACCACCAGCATAACAATGATCCCCAAGCGGCGGGGACTATCTACCATTTTTTCTTCCTCTACCTCTCTCACTCTCTCTCTCTCTCGCTCACATAATCTGCGACTGTACAATAATTCGTTTCCCTACGTCTACGATAACAATGAATAGAAATGCCATTAGAGATATGTATATTACAGATGATTCGTCTAAAAATGTAGGAGACGTAAGTGTTTTTCCTTTCTCTCGAATGAAAATATCAAAATTCCTGGTCACGTCGGTACACAAGCAATTATTGCGGGTATCCTTTTCGTGGATACGAACAAAGTTGTCGTTCTCATGGTTATCGAAATTCATTTAAACGACGTTCATTCGAGAGTCGTCACGCAATTGTAATCATAAAGCAGAACGTTTCCTTGACAAATTAGTACCGTATCGTTTTAATATTTTCAATTAACTGTTTTCGTTTTGCCAAAATAATTCAAATAAGTTCAAATGACAGTATTCCACCGCATCCCGCCCTTTGTATGGTACAATTTTAAATCGGGTTGTATGTCGTCACCATACTTAGCATAATAAAGAATAAGAAATCAATATTAAATTTGCCTAAAAATGGAGCCCGATAGATTACATCTACATATACATATAGTATGTTCAATTTGACATTCTGTTCGAAATTCCTTTAAAAGTTTCGGAAATGATATCTCTCGAATGATGACGTTTATACAAAATTCACATTTTTACGCGTTAATTTATAACAAATTGTTATTCAATTTTCACGGAAATTTTCATTAATGCCATACGATATTCCGTCAAGAATAGGAAACTGCAAATTCTACGAAATCTACATGATTATTTTTACCTTGTGCGTTCACAAAAATGGCCGGTTGTTGAATAATCAAAAATTACAAAAAATTGAATTCAAAATGGTAATTGGTACAAAGATTAAACTTTACTTTGCCGGATCAAAAATGATTGACTTCTTTTTATACCTCCTGGTAATATTCAACGAGTGGAATTTGAAAATGCAAGTTTTAAGTTTAGGAATCCACTGGTTCAAAAGCTATGCGTATGTAAAACCTGTAAAAACTAAAGTACTTTACAGGTTATAGTTAACGCCATATTGGTTTCTATCCAAATTCGTCCAATCAGTGGTGTCACTGTTTGCAAGATCACGTCGGTAGTGTTCGTTTTGGCGGGATAATTCAAATGTGCTTGCAAAAAAGAATCACTTATTCAAAGCGAAATACAGATTCTGAATTCCGGAAAAGTAAAGTTCAGCCGGTACAAATATTAGTGAACACGATTAATAACGAAATTCGGGATTGCTCGTACACCGACGAAACAGAAGAAAAAATGTACATATAAAATCACCACTTCGAAGAAAGAGAAATGGTGAAATTTTTCGGAGAAGATTGAACGAAAATCGGCCGAAATTCTTTTGAGCACGCGATCCATACTCGATCTATACGGCGAGAGTTGACCTAACCCAACCTGGTTGGGTCGATCGTCTCCCGTAATCGCCGTTGGAATGTAGGAACGCGATTTAAATCACATCTCACCAGGTATGCATCGTTTCGGCGAAGGCTGCAAGACTCGAAATTTGGTTACATCCTGATTGTTTTCCTCATCGTTAAAACAATGGTGTAAAATCTTCCCGTGGAAAGAACGTGATCATTGCCTGCGGCTAAACATCGATATTTACCTGGATATACACATCTGATATTTGCGCGCTCGCTACCTGTACGTGAGCATGTCGCGTACGCGTTTCACTCTGTCTCTCTGTGTTTCGTCTGTCTTTCTCTCTTTTTCTCTTCAATGCATCTAAAACACGCGCGAAGTACACTTCTTTTAACTCGTGAGACCGTAATCTAATTAACAGACTGCGGATTTTATGCGTCGGCGAGTGTGCAGGATAACCTAAAAATAACCTAAAACATCCGACAATATTAACACATTGGCGTACGGTAAAGTTCTGCTGATAATATCGTACTCGAATGCGAAACAAATATTGTCACCTGGGAAACCATAAATAAACAATGCACTCATTAACCAGGAAAACTTACTGTGAAAGCGAGATTCCTAGTTATCGGTAGGCCAGTGTGTTAACAAACGCGTTGATAGTATGATTCTGATATTTCTTATGGTATATGTAACCTTTTCGCAACATTCTGCAGAAAGTTTTAGTTTTGCTTTTTTTTTATTCTGCTTAATCAGAGTTGTCATTTTGATCGGAATCGAATCTGCATAAATATCCGCAGTCCACTTGTCACGAACGATCGGACCCAATCGTAGAACCGCGTGGTCCTGCAAGTGGAACCGGACTTCCGGTTCACCTAAGAACTGTTCCTCCGCGATACGTACACTACCGGACAAAAGTTAAGGACCTGGATCTCACAAAATTAATTAACGGGGAAATAACTCGTTCAAATAACTTGAAGGGAAAATATTAGTGTATATAAAGATTGAGGAAGGCTGACCAGAGAGGTAATTTATTGTATGGGGATGTATCATAGTTTGGAAGTGTCTGGAAAGTGAAAGAGTATTCTTAGGCAACAGTATTCTAATACACTAATGGAGTACTGTTCTCTGAGAATATTCCAATTTTTCAGTCAATTTAATATTAGCCTCTGAGAACAATGATTATGGAAATTTCTTTGTAAGTAAAAATACATAAGGTAAAAAATACATCACATTTGCCTTAGATATTTTGTTTCAACAATCTAAGGAAAATCAAGTGGTTCCTCCATTGATTAGTAACTGACTGCAACATTAAATGCATTGATTATTGCATAATTGTGCAAATGATGCTCATGATATGGTAATATGTTATAAAGTAACTGTTAAACAGTTGCAATCTTTATGCTTAAAAACAGATTATAAAAGATCTCACATCAGTTTAGCAGTCAGACTTCTATCATAAAGGGAAATGGTGATTCTGGTGGTCCAAACTTTTGGTCGGTAATGTACCTTTATTTTAAAGTACACTAGTTAGCATGGAAAAACGTGACAGGATAGATGCAACTCTGTGGAAGTGAAGTTCCATGTTGATTGAATGATGTAAAGTTAATATCAACAAACGAAAGACTCGACAGACGTTACTGGGAAGAAATGAATGACGTTGAGTATTAAATTGGACTACAAGAATTAATTGGCAACAATGTACAAGACGTTTCAGGATTTTTGGTACAACTGGTTGATAGAAACAGAAACAGAAAAGTAGCTTTCTTTTCTAGACCTTTCCAGAAACAGAAAGAATTAGTAAAATAATTGCATAGAAGACATTCAGTTTTGCAAACTTTAAACAGACTTTTTTGGTAGATGCATCATACAGTATGACGTTCCTTTTTAACATTTTTTTACATTTGTTACTTCTATGTTTATGTAAATTAATAGAAATCATTATAGGTAAGAATATGATTATAAAAATCAGGTACTCAATATTACATGTAATTAGTAAAATAAAGAAAGAACCATTAATGGATTTATTAAATTTTAAAAAATAATGAATTCTGTTAACCAAGAATAAAACTTGTTTGTTCCTTTGTACGTGTTCTATTAACCAGTGAATTTATTAAACTTTAAAAAGTAATGAATTCTGTTAACCAAGAATAAAACTTGTTTGTTCCTTTGTACATGTTCTATTAACCAGTGAATATATATATACCTTTAAAACATAATAAACATACTAAATATGTAACTATTATTTAATTACTATTTTGAATATTCATTAAAGAGCAAAGTTTGTGTACAAAAATTATTAGTACCACAAGAAATATGAAAAAATATATGTATATAATATTAAAAAGATGTAAAAATTATTGGAACGATTATGTACACAAGTCCATGTTCAATGAAGCTCTGCAAGATTGTAAAGAGGCTTAAAAAAATTCAACTAATAATTACACCTCAGATGCTTAAAAATATATATGTACAAAATTATCAATTAGTTTGTTAGATTTATTTCTTTGGCTAGAAAGCAGATTACGCCTCACTTATTCGGTCCAAAAGGGAGAATATTCTATTTGTCTGATACAAAAGGAAGCATATTCTATTTGCCTGACTAAAACGTATTTGTACTCTATTTGTCTGACTAAGTTGGGACTATATTCTACTCATATAATTCACATTAAACTTTGTACTATTTATCTGACCAGATACGATACTAACTTCTTCTCTATTCAAGAATAATTCATACTTTACTTATCTGACAAGAGACATAGCAATCCTCTCTATTTTTCGAGTTTACGTTGTACCTGTTTATTCAGAGACTATCACGATTTCCCCTTTGTGTTCAACAATAGTTCATATTTTACTGTGCTGCCGTCAAACAAATCTAGCACTGCTCGTCCAACAGTCTACCAGACCTCACTCGTCTGACAAAGACAGCCTTAATCTACTCGCCTGTCTACGAACCTTCTACATTGTCCTTAAATGACACACATTCTACTTGTCCTTAAATGACACACATTCTACTTGTCTGCCTTAACTGGTACACGTTCTACTTCTCTGTCCTAAATTGTACACGTTCTACTTGTCCGTCTTAAATGGCACACCTGCTACTTGTCCGTCATAGATGGCACACGTTCTACTTGTCCGTCCTAAATGGCACACATTCTACTTGTCTGTCCTAAATGGTATATATTTTACCTGTCTGACTAGGGACAGTCCTCTCTACGTGTTCACGGCTACAGTCACGTTTACTCCACTTCTCTGACTAGAAACGGTTCTATATCCACTCATCTGAAAGATCTCCCGTTACCCAACAATGTTTTATAGAAAATATCAAATGGTATTACCAGACCAGCAACAATCTTAACTTCACCTAAAAATTAATTTCTTGTGCTCTCTATCATACGTTCTCCCACGAATCTGCAAAGTTTCATCGAACAGCTTCAAGAACGCTCCGATAAACCTACAAAAGGTACAAACATTGGAACTTCAGGAAGGGCAGTTATCGAGTCGCAGTCACCATCTACGCGATTCACGCTCTTCCAAGCCAATAATGATTCTCCAACGAGACCAGTCGGGCCCCCTCTAACGCCCCCTATTACAACGATATCATCTAACTCTGTACGTAAGACACTCAGCGGATAAAGTCACAATCTATCGGGTATGCCGGCTGTTTAACCCTTTCGTTGCTATTAGCACCAATAGACACTTCTAGTAAAAGGTTAGATTCATACTGCGCGCGGTTCGCATCTATCGACGCTCAACGTAGTTCAGGTGTCGGTCGCTATTGGCGCTGTGTGTTCTCGCGAATACGGACCTTCGTAAAGGGTATACAGTAAATCCTCGATGTGTGTTCGAAGGCTCCTCGGCTCTGAATATTAAATATTTCATAAACTAATGGCGATATGCGGTTGAAACAAGTATCATTGGCTTCAGAATTCCAAGCTTTATCACTGGCTAAACGTTATTAGAAAGTCAGTGTTACACCTGGGAACGACCTTTCCTCGTCGATGCCGAGGAGCCTACGAATACTCATCGAGAATTTACTGTAGTCCTTTCGGTGAGGTTATTTGTTCGCAAGACCAATAACACTGCTCGCGACTGTTGTCCACCGGGTAGCTTGAAATTTCCCATAATCGTAATCGTTTGCGCAGAGTTTTCCATGTTCGATCCCGCGGCTCGAGAAATCGACAGATCGTCTGCTACGCAGTGGTTCACGTCTGAAATCTGCCAGCAACGAAAAGGTTAATTGGCATACGATTATTTCTCGCGCACGACACGGAAAGCTGTCCTACCATCAACGATTTTAGGCGAACGGAGTGTGTTTAACAGTGTCTATTTCTTTCTGTGTGTGTGTGTGTTTATTGTGTACACGTGTACCTTGCATGTGTGACTAGACAGCGTCTCACGAAACGTCTCTCTCTTTGTCTCTCTCTCAGCGAACAAGAAAAAAGCGTATTGCCTAATGATTTATTTGCTCGTGTACCATTATTGTTACTCTTACCGTTACTATCAGAGCTATCCGTACTTCGTTAATCTCCGAAATCCGCGCGGATCGTCCTCCTTAACACTAGATTTACGGACATTTCTTATACTCCTATCTCTACGGACACGCGTCAACGAAACCGCACATTTTTTTTTAAGAAAAACAACTTATTTCTTTTAACACTCAATTTACGATAGCATCAAATTGTCGCGTATCCGTAGAAATAGGTATACCATATAGAGAATTTCGAGATTAGAAGGCATTCGAAATGCGTCAAATTGACGCGTTCCATAAACCTAGTGTTAATTCGTCGATTTCACTCCTCTTTTCGAACTCGAATGGAACCACAAGAGTTCATCGGCCAAAAAATATCACGCGTTCCTTTCTCGCAAACTACGTGTCCGCCGGTGCCTCCATGTTACCCGGATCTGTCTCTCCAGTCCTTAATCGTCGAACGTTCGTACGTCCTAACCTTTTTTAAGGTTATAACTGCGACACCATTTTCGTTTCTTCCCCAGGCGTTTCTCTGCTTTCTGTGTCCCTAGTATTTACACACATACCGGACCGAGTCGTGGGCAATCGTCGCAGCGCGATTTCGATTATCGGCCTGTCTCGATATATCGACTCGCAGTGATCGCGTAGCGACTTTCGATCGTCAGTGCTTTTCGAAAACGGACGATGGACGATGCTCCGCGAGTAGTGTTACGCTACGACGAGAAACGGTGGTCCTGGGGAAGACAGTTCGTGTCCGCGGCCTTGTGATTGTTCGTCTTCGCTTTGCGTTTCTCGTCGCTGCTCGGCTGCTTCTTTACCTTGTACGGCCGCGTCGAGCATATCAGCATCATCTGGCTGTCCCTCGGGGAGTCCTCTAACCGCGCCCTCTGGCGCCTACGTTCGTCTTTGTTCTTGTTCTCCGTGAGCGCCTCGTCCTGCGTGTGCTTTTCCTCTGGAAGAATTCCGGAAAGCTGTGTTTGTTATACAGGACATGCAAACAGCGCCGAATTAAGGGGCGGGGGCTAGGGGGGGTTATAGCCCTGGGTCCCACTTTCAAGGAAGGCCCCGATGCAAGCCTTCCATTTATGTCAAAAAATAATTGAATGGAATTTTATTTACTGTTTCCCTTCTGAAATAGTTAGAAATTGTACTGAATGTAGAAATAAATCGGATGAAAATTGTTAAAATGTAATAATGATATTTAATTGTACTTGGAATAAATTTTAGGTTTTTAAGATTTATGCATTGTATTATATATTGCATTACAAAAGTTGTGTTCCCCTCCCCCCCCCCTTCAACCAAGAGGGCCCTCGAAAGTTTAATAGCCCTGGGCCACAAGAAATGTTAATCCGGATCTGCGTGCAATTATAGGGGTGGACAAGGTAACGCATTTGATACGGGTGGAAAACTAGTTTCCAAGTTTGCAAGTAATTATGACGACTTTACTACATGGGATGCCTGATCTGTGCGTTGCGTGTACGTTCACCCATTCATACATACATGGGACAACGAACTGTGAACGTTTTCTAGCAACAACAAAAAGAAAGGAATATATTGGATACATAATCGTGTATCTCGAGTATCTACGTGCGACAATAAATGCTATTTACTTTGCATTTGACTGAAAAATCGACGTATATTGCAAATAACGTGAGTACGAATGCCAATGCAACGTTAACATCATTTTCCAAAACAACGGTCGAGTAGCGACCCATGGTTCCTTTTAGACTTTTCATCCCCATGCTGAGTAGAATATAATGTTATAAAAAAAAACTTTGACCTTGAATTTCAAGTTCAAGGTCAACTTCGCGATGACATTCTTTTGAAGGTCCTCACCGATCCAGTAGTGTAGAATAACGCTAACGCTAAATTGGCCCGAAATTGTGACCACGAGTCCGACTCGTGATATCCATGTTCGGCCCAACATTCTGATCACGACTCACAAGGAGTGTATTTTAGGTGTCCGCCTCCGATTGCTTTGGTTTGCGGATATGTTTTAGAGGACCGAAAAATAAGAGATACGTATTTTTTTATAGCGGCCCGTTTTCATATTTAGGGGGTGAAACCACCCCTCAAAGTTTCGACCCGGAAGTACTATCTCGAAAACCAGAGGAGATACATGAAAACTTTCAATTGGTGGCTTTCATGGTTTGTTATGTACAATAAACTGGTGTTAACAAATTGTCAAAAATACAATTTGTTTATAACAAAAAAATCTCATTTTGAGAACCTTTTTGGAGGAAACTACGTGTATATCTCACAAGGGAAGGCACGGAAGTGTCCCCCTCCGATTTTGATGAAACTTCGTATGTCTGGTAAGCAGTTAAAAATAAAGGACACGTATTTTTTTTATCGACTGAGACGCGACTTCAAGGGGTGAAACCACCACTCGAAATTTCTATCTGAAATTTTGTTGTTATAAACAAATTATATTTTGGACAATTTGTTAGCACCATATTATTCTACATTAAAAACCGCAGACTTCGTGCATTAAAAGTTTTCATGTATCTCCTCTGGTTTTCGAGATAGTACTTCCGGGTCGAAACTTTGAGGGGTGGTTTCACCCCCTAAATATGAAAACGGGCCGCTATAAAAAAATACGTATCTCTTATTTTTCGGTCCTCTAAAACATATCCGAAAACCAAAGCAATCGGAGGCGGACACCTAAAATACACTCCTTGTCAGACTCGTCAAAGTTCAGCAGACAGTCAAATTGTTCCCAAAAATTTACCTTCGAGAACCTCGTCGAATATCGACCTGGCGATCTTCGCGACGCAGTTCTTCTCGTCGCCCGGCTCCACTTCGTCCTCCCTCTCGATGTTGTTGTTCGTACGGAATATCGACTCCAATACCTGCCTGGAGAGCAACGGCGAGACAGGTGGCCTGGTTCTGGTCCCATCGCTACCAGGGAACACACCGCCGGTCCCGGTCTCGTTGTCGCACACGCTCACCGTGGACGCGTTGTCCGTGATCAGCTTCTCGGTGTCCGAGTCCCCCTGGTTGCTGTAGTAGTTGCTGCTGCTCTCGGACTTCTTCAGAATCGACTTCGAGACACGGTGCCTATCTATGAACGGCACACCCTCGCCGTCTATCGAGTCCGCGGATAGTGAGAGCTTGCTCTCGGCGTTCGTCCCTGAAAAATTTTCATCGTTCTTTCGTTTCACATCTATGCGCGCCCGTACCAGGGGGTGGACACTTAAATGGGACCGATTGTGACAGTGTTTTGGGCGCCACCACAGTTAAACTGTGGAAATAGCTACCCTGACCCCTACCAATATGGCTCAATGTCCCTGGGTTGTCGGATAAGTTCACGGTGTACACGGGGGGTGTGTGATGCAACTGTGACAAGCCGTGGCGTTAAAAGGGTAAAGGATAGAAAAGAAATTTCAGTAGGAGAAATTAAATGGTGTTGAGTGTTAGTCTCTCTGATATCGAAAGTGGAGACGTTTCAAAGGTTTCAAGGTCATCTTTACTTTTTTGTTAAATCGATGCATTGTTTAATTCTGTACGATAAAGGGTGAAGGTAGTTGGGTCGAAAAATGATTAGTTCCTACCCTTCTTCGGATTATGGAGGCCACAGTGGCCCTCCCTGAACCTTAAAGCAAGCACGCTTTAATGTTAATGCAATTATTTGAAAATTTATGCGATCTTTTATTATGTCGTCAAATTTTGAAATTTTTCCAGAGCACGTTAATTTGCACTTATCACTTCCAGAAATAAGGGGTCTGGAAAACTATTTAGATTTGCAAATCGAAATATGGGTTAGAAAAGAATAGAATTAGGAAACACACGCGAGAACATAGAGAAGAAAGCTCAAGTCCTAGGTGCCAATGTTACATAATTTTGAGAAATTTAAGTTGAAATATCTTTTTAGATATACGCGTTTGCAATTGATTAATCGTAAGAGGTTCTGAAATTCAACGGGGTTCTTATTATTACATGGGTCTCTCATCGAGGACCGTTCCAGTTAGTTTGGCGCTCTGAAATTATCGATGGAGTTACATCCACATGTTTCGGAACCTCATCTGTATGTATATTATACATACAGGGTAAGAGCGCTGACCCAGAATAGTAAGAGGTAATCGATAGAAGGGCGAATCGACGGGCGAACGTGACTCGAATTATTTCTAGACTGCGTGATCGAAACGCGCTACGGGACGGGGGATAGAATACGTTCAACATGTGATTAACTGATGCCCGATAGTAATACTACTTGAATTTCTCAATCGAAAATGCTCAGATCTGCTTCGCGTCGAGTGAAACTACGAATCCCTGCTGATAAAAGCTAGATACAGTTGAAGTCGCGTTAACTGCGCGAAACTCGAGATCACATGCGCGCAGTAAGCATAGACGGTCACTGTTTCAACTTTTCTCGTAAGTTTTGCGCCGAACCTGAAAGGGCATTTTATACCCACTCGAATATTTATTCTTAGATTTCTGTCTTCTATAATGAAATAATTGCATGTGGCTTTGTGTATTCCTTCCTTACGAATTCATATACAGGGTGTGCACGCGAACAGTGTATTGTTCGTCATTTCCCAAACTATTTGAAATACGAGAAAACTGTTTACGTAAAGTTTAAGGACACGAGGGGACTAATTAACGGGCTATGATGAATTGTTTTTAACATTATTATTTTAACAGATACAAAGATCAAGTTCGGTTTTTTAAATGGAATTATGTATTTTATAGATTTTTAGTGGAAGAAAACCTGTTCAAATAGGAAGCATCTGAAGTGGTCTTGTCAACGGCTCAAGTGCCACGTAAATCAGTAAATGTTACACATTGGGTGTCAAAGGGTTAAAAGAACAACTTTTTTTAACAATGTTATCGCACAATTTCACACAAAACTAAGAATGTGTCGCCCACCTGTGTAATGTCTGGGCCCGCCACCGCCACCGCTCCCAGTCCCGAAAAGATGATGGTTCAGGATCCTCGTGGCGGAGACCAGGCCGCTATTGGCGGTCGCGAACGGTCTACCACCGCGGAGTCCACCGTAATAATTGTTGTTCTCCGGAGTGTCATCTTTCGCAAGGACGCTACGAGCTGCAGCCACGGTTTCCAAGTCGCTGACAAATTGTGCGCGAAGTCTTACACTCTGCAATCAGCCGCGTCGAATAACTAATACAGGGGGCCACGTGTGAGGAGTATACTCGTCATTAAACACACAGAATTTGCATCTGGTAGTTAAAGTAAAATTTAGGTAAAATGAAAATCTTATTCGTAATTCTAACACATTTTAGAGTATTTTGGGACAAAAAAAAACATACAAAGAAAAAAAAAGTTAATATGCAGCAGTGTATTGTACCCTCGCGTGCAAACACGGCATCCGCTAGGGGAGAACGTGATGTAAGGGAGAGATCTTCTACCACTTAGTCTCGGAGTTACTGAAATTTCTGCCAAATTAACATTCAGTTCAACATTTATTCCAGTATTTGAAATAAATCTATCAAGTAGTAGAAGACCCATACCCGTACATTGCTTTTTCCCCTAGAGGAAGCAGAGTTTGCTCCTCAGTGTATGAGGGCTGTTTTATAAGGCTGTAACTTTTTTTTGCAATATGGCGCTTAAGTCGCAATAATAAGTTTGTTGTTTTATTAGAATTTTTTTCAATTTCACAGCAAATGCATTCACTCTGTCTTGGTCGAGTGTACAGGTGATCCCTCGATGAATGCGACACAAGCAACGGCAATTATTCCCACGACTGGGGGAGCCCCCCCGTGGAACCACTCAAAACAGAGTAAACAGAAGCTAAGCAGAGACTCGGCTTTGAGCAAAAAGCAAATTTACGAGGGGATGAAAACCATTTAGTCTTGCCACGAATGCTCCGAAGTAGACTCGAGTATGTCGCACGTATCGAGACATTACTGTATTCGTCATAGCTTAAACATAATGAAGCACCCAAGTGCACGTTTTCAAAATGAAATAAAGGTTTAAGGGGTTAACACACTTTGGAGCCTGAAAATCAAAGGTGTATTTTTTTTCGCAATTTCTTTTCTTTGCGAAAAATACGAAGTAAATGGGAATTCTATCGAAAGACTTTTATTGCACGTATCTTGGGGTGCGAATCCTAGACTGACCTAAAAGCTTATCGACTAAAGGAACGAAAAAAAAAAAGAACAAAATATACGTGCCGGTTATCGCGCACCGCGTACAAATAATACATGAATAACGGAACAGCCGTTCTCTGTACCAGCGGTTCTCAACGTTTTTTTACTTGCGTACCACTTGGCAGCCAATTTCCCTAAAATTGTACTCCCTGACATTAGAAAAATGGTTATAATTTATATAGCTGCTGTTATATCAATTCTTTTCGCGTAAACCACCCTAAAACACCAAGCACGTTCACTCTTGTGGGTAGGCGTACCGCCGGTTGGGGATTTTTTTTGGGTTACTATAATTGCGAAAATGTTATTTATTATTGGTCGACCCTGTAGAATACAGATTTTTCTGTATACATATCAGAGTTGGGCACAATTTTATTCGTGAAAAGCAGCAGTATATGGGATCGTCATCTTGACCTTTGAACAGTTAATGAAATGAAATAATTGTTTGCCAAGTGTCTACTCATTCGAAAAGATGTGTTCTGTTATTGTAAACATTGAAATTTTCACGATTATGCTATTCAAAATGGCGAAGTACTTTTTTTTAGCTTTTATTCCGTATTCGAAATTTTTTATCTAGATAATGAATTTGCCCATGTCTGATATATACATATACAGAAAGCACCCAAAGATCTTCTGGCTAAATGGTGACAGCGCGTTTCTGCTTCTACATTTAAAGTGCAATTTTTATACAGATTATTGTTATATTTACGAAGAAAATTCTGTTCCATAGTTCCTATTTCTTTTGTGTTGCTGGAGAATTACCATTTTTTCTCCTTCTTTTCTTTTGGTGCTATAAATCGTAGGACTCCCTATTACAAATAACAGTCGGTGAATACTTCATTAAAAGAGTCACGATAAACGTATGACATCGTCGTGAAGAAAAACGGAAGTTATTAAATCGCGGAATAAGCGACGATGTTCTAAAATATGAGATAATAAAAAAGAAAAGAAAAAAAAATTTTACATTCCCTTAATATGTTTTTCACACAGAATTACCATTTGTCGGTATTATCGTATCTACTGATTCTGTGACAATTGTGACGGGTACACCTTCGCAATTAATATAAAACAGGGTTTCATTCATAAACATTAGGACACACAAATATTAATAGAATCTTTCATGCGCATTGTTAGACTTTGCAAATTCCCAATTCTCTAAACAATTCAACCGAAAGATTCATATTCAACGGTTCGTCAAGTTAAACACACAAAAAAAACGGACACTTCATGGACAGCTGTTAAAGTTCTCGTTTCATAGAGTTTTGCACACCTATAAGGTAAAACTAGACAATACGCCCCACTTAAAGACAGTTCAATGGAAAAAATATAAGTCTTCAGTAATTCTGTCTTATCTGTCGAATTATATTAATTTTTCATTTGTCCCCCGCAAAAGAAAATTATAAATAAAATTACGAACGAAAATAGAATAATGTGGATACAAGTTGGATCATTTATAATTCATCAGAAACGATAAGAACAGAGCATAAGTTAACACGAAGTAAGAAAATATAATTCAAATTATACCTTTTTTTAGCTTCCAACTTTCTCAGCCATCGGCTCCTGAAAGGGAAGCCACAGGCGTGTTATATTACTCGCTTGACTGGTTCAAAGAAATCTAATAGCGGGAACGACGGACGAGTATTAACTCTGTCGATCTTCGCGCGCAGTTATCGAGACTTTACTGTAGCCAGGCCGTTCGACGACCGTGGAGCGTATCACCTGGTTTCACCTTTATACTATTCGCTGATATATACATACCAAAGTTGTTTTTTTTTTCTTTTCTAACGATCTCTCGGAATTTACATTCGACGAGAGGATCCCTACTATTCACGGGTGGCGCGACACTGTCACAATTTAACCAGACCACCGCTCTCCCACGAGAACCACGATTAGAATCCTTCGCGGCGCCATCTTGTTTCGTTCGAACCAAATCCACCATCCACCCGGTTCCTCTTATTTTTCTCTCACACTGAAAGCAACTCCGTATCCTTTCGACGGACAAAATAGAGATGCGTTTAGACGTTCCTTGTTGATGTTCTTTGACGCGAGTACACAGAGATGTGGACCAAAATTGTATAGGATAATAGAGACCGGTGATGGAAGAAGATGGTGGGGGGGACTCACCTGTTGGATACGAATTTTCCTGTGTTTGGGCACCGTATCGTTTAGGGTCACTTTGCCACCGTCTGTCATCGGGCGGATGTCTTTTAACGACTCGACGCTGGGCGACGCGTCGTTGGCCCCGTTACGGGCCACTTCACCGGAAACGGACTTCTTTACACGGTTACCACACTTCTCAGCGGCCTCCAACGGGTTCACGTAGAGATTATTGGTGTCCGTCTCCTCGGTGAGATCACCCTGCGGATCGGGGGAGGGACAAATTGCATTAAGGACGTCAAACGCCGATTCGAATACACGCTGGGATTTAGGTATAGTGCCTCCCTGAGCTATAGTGACTTTAGGTGTGAACTATAAACATATAATAGACTGCGTGGTCTTATGGTAGGCATGAAGCGAGACCGAAGGATAGAAGTAGCGATGGAGTCATTCCTCTCTCGCTTGCATATCGCAGAGGGAGGGGAGAAAGCGACTGGAGGGCGATGAGGAGAAGGAATGCTGCACGCATGTAATGCCTCCACACAGCCGCAGGAGAATCCCCCACCAACAGTCCCATTAGAAAGAGAAGTGTGTAACTCCATGCATTATCCTCTCACTTTACTGCCAACCTCATCCCTACCATAAGACCCCGCAGTCTATTATACAGGGTATTTCACGTAACTTGACCACCTTAAATATATCGCTTATTTTGTATGATAGAAAAAATATCAGAGGAGAAAAATATTCTGTTCGAAGGCGCCAATACGGTGATGGGCCGAATTTTTTTCTCAAGGTCATTTTTTTCGAGATTTCAAGGTCATCGAATTTTGTTTTAACGGGACTACATATTTTCACTACAATACTCTTATAGCATATAAAAATACAAATCCAACGAGGTGCAATATGTTGACCTTCACGTGACCTTTAGTGAAAAAATCATGAAATGTTTGTCAGTAAGCTCAGTACGCGTTCGGGGACGGTAAATGAAGGAATTTCAATTTCATTGGAACAGTCTTTAGTTAAATCTTTATTTTAGAAGGTGTTCAAAATGTGCACCATGAACCTGGATACATTTTTGGAGGCGGTAAATAAATTCTTGCTGTACATTTTTAAGTTGCTCTGCAATAATTGATCTACATTCATGTAGAACCCTTTGTCGCATATTTTCTGCCGATGAAAGGAATTCTCCCTTCGAATGTCTGTTTACAAGCACCAGGGACAATTACACGGTACACTGTTCCAATGAAATTGAAATTCCTTCATTTACCGTCCCCGAACGCGTACTGAGCTTACTGACAAACATTTCATGATTTTTTCGCTAAAGGTCACGTGAAGGTCAACATATTGCACCTCGTTGGATTTGTTTTTTTATATGCTATAAGAGTATTGTAGTGAAAATATGTAGTCCCATTAAAACAAAATTCGATGACCTTGAAATCTCGAAAAAAATGACCTTGAGAAAAAAATTCGGCCCATCACCGTATTGGCGCCTTCGAACAGAATATTTTTCTCATCTGATATTTTTTCTATCATACAAAATAAGCGATATGTTTAAGGTGGTCAAGTTACGTGTAATACCCTGTATATGTCTGGTGTAAACCTCGCAGTTAGTGTGCTATGGGATACCTTTAACACTTTGCGCTCCAACTACCAGTGTGGCTGGCACAGTAAGTAAACCACCTTTCTAAGTTTCGATCCGAAATTTTTTTGTTATAAACAAATTATATTTCGGACAATTTGTTCGTACCATATTATTCTACATAAAAAACTGCAAACCTCGTCCATTAGAAGTTTTCATGTATCTCCTCTGGTTTTCGAGATAGTACTTTCGGGTCGAAACTTCGAGGAGTGGTTACACCCTTTAAAGTCGCGTATCAGCCGATAAAAGAAAATACGTATCCCTTATTTTTGATTGCTTAACAGACATACGAAGTTTCATGGAAATCGGAGGGGGACACTTCTGTGCCTTCTCTTGTAAGGTAACTGAAATGCACCAGTTTAAGAGCGTGTGAGTTCCTGGAGATAGTAAGATAATTTTCTAGGATTTCATATGGATTATTGTGCCCCCAATACCTGCGACTGAGACGGATGCGTCTGACAGCTGGCGTACGTATCGGAGCTATCCACGCTCCCTTGTTCGTTGTACGGTTTCCCGTAAACGCCGTGCTGGATCTCCATCGGCTGGACGATCGGCGAGGTCTTCGCCTCGGCGAAGAACAAAGACGGTGGCGGCTCCACGGACATACCGGACCGTATCGATCTCATCTCCTGGCAGATCGGAGTACGAAAGTCGCTGGTCGCCAACGGCATTATATTTTCCGCGTCCCTGAAGTCTTTGTACTCCTAGAAATACCGACCACGGTGAAAAGTTTCGGCTTTGCCCGGGGAGGGGGCGGACCATGGATCCTGACGGGAGGGGGGCGGACCATGGACCGTAGTACAGTACATTCTCGATAAATGCTCGACAAGATCTCTACGATAAATGCCCGGAAGATCTCTACGTTAAATTTTCGAGAAGATCTCTATGATAAATGCACGGGAAGCTTTCTACGATAATTGCGCGGAAGGTCTCTACGATAAATGCCCAGAAGACCTCAACGTTAAATTCTCGAGAAGATCTCTACGATAAATGCACGGGAAGATTTTTACGATAAATGCCCGGGAAGATCTCTACGTTAAGTGCCTAAAAGATCTCTACGTTAAATGCTCAGGAAAATCACTACGTTAATCGCTTCTAGTTTATTCCTTTACGATAAGTATTCTAAAGAGGGTCCGAGTTTTAAGCATTAATCGAAGATTTACTGTACATGTATGATCGACGCGTCGGGAGATGCCGCGCAATTTTCATCGTACTGTGAACATACGATTTTTTTGAGAGAGAAGAGAGGAAAGAATATCTCCGTTTTTCTTTTTCTTTGAAAAATATTTTGCTTCATTATTTCTGTCTTCTTATGGTATTTGTTCGGGAGATTTTAGGTGACTATGCGGCGGGTTAATTATTCGACGGCGTGATCGAAAAGACGAACGATTTTTTACAGAGGAAAGACGAAGAGCCGAGAGTCTAGTGACGAGCAGGTAGCGGATACTCGCGTAGATATAGAGGAGTATTGAGAAAAATTTGGAACATTTTCACACAGGCGTGGATTTTACATGACGAACTAACAAAGGATGTTCACACAGTGATACACGCCGATTTTTCTTTGCCCGATTATTTATGGGATCAACTGAGAATTTTGCTGTACTTAGTTATGATGCTATTTTTAAATGTTAGGGGAGAAACCACCCTTTTTATCGGAAGCATCCCTTTTACTTACTCGCTTGTAACTCGTGAACTGCAAAAGGTATCGGAAAAAAAGTTGAGACTTTCATATCGTTTGCAATTGTCCGTATACTGGTGAGAAGAAATTTTCTAAAAAAATTTTTTAATTAGTTTCAGCATGTATATAACTAACATACATCTAAAAACTATATTTTTTAAATTTTCATTATAATCTCAGATAAAAAAAATTTTAAATTGTAACTTCTTCCAAATTTGTATACACATCATTTAGTAAACTAATCTTTCTAACTTCACAAAGAACTTAAATGACACGGTACAATTTTAAAAATGTTAGTTAGTTTTAAAGGGCGTGCGAATACATTTTTTACCCACTGTATATCCTACAACAAGGATTCAATTGACAATATTAATGTCTAACACTGTCTATACACCGATAATCGTTCCCCTTTTCGATCCAATACGTCCAAACATTCGATTCGTTTTCAACATCTCGTCTTTTTCAAAAGATAACAAAATAAAAAAAAAGATTTCCGGCTAGAAACTAGAAAAATCGACGGTTGAATATCGTCTTTCGGAGGATATCCTTTATCCGGGTTCACGAAACGACGAAAGTTGCGCTCGTTGATCGAAACTTAATCGAGAAAATAGATTACAGTCGGGGTGCTATGTACACTAAGAGTGGAGAGAAAGAGGGTAGTGGGGGCTGGTGATGGTTGTGTGTGGACTTTTTTTGGGACAGGGGGCAAACACGAAATTACTGTGTGCTCTCTAAACAATCGACATCTAATTGATCGATGCGGCCTTTTCTACGCTCGTAGCTGTTATATACTCGCCTGGTGTGTCCGGGGAACGGGTTCGCACCCGGTCGATTGACCCCTCGTACACAGCGGGTGCAGGGACATTTTGACCCGTACGTGGCTATTCCCTTATTCTGTTTAGTTACACAGGTATGTAAAATGTGGTTTTACGAAACAAATATGATGTGAATGTGTTTTTACAAAACTTATTATTTATAATCAATAAATATAATTTTAATACATTTTTATTAAATGTATTAAATTTTTGTGGAAAACACATTATTGTGGATACATTTTTATTGTTATTGATACCATGCAATTTTTGTTTAAAATATTCCTTCGTACAGCCAATAATTTACGAGCAATTAAGATGGTCACGTTAGGTGAACCTGTATACATAGACAGGGTGTCCCAAAATGACGGGACAATTCGCATCATGTATATTCCTCGTGTAAATACAAATCGAAAAGTCCTTTACCGTTTTGTAATCCCAAGCACCATTTCCGAGATATTAGCAGTTGAATGAACTCCGACCAACTGAGCGGTCGGTCACATGTACGCGTAGATATAGTCAAGAAGCAATCCAGTCAGCTGAGTCGCGGGCTTCTTAACTGCGCCTACGCGTACCTGTGACCGACTGCTCAGCTGATTGGAGTTCGTTTAACGGCTAATATCTCGATAATGGAGTTACGAATTACAAAGCGGTAAAGAACTTTTTGATTTGTATTTGCACGAGGAATATGCATAATGCGGCTTGACCCATTATTTTTAGATATCCTGTATATATGCATACGAAATTGAAAATGTACAGTAAAATTTTATCGCGAAATTTCTATTTGAAACCTGTCCGTACGAATGCTACGACGGGTCAAAACTAACCCTGCACTCGGGTCTCCCGCGTCCATCCCAGTTCATCCGTCTTCAGGGGGTTAAAGTGGGTTAGAGAGAGGCAGAGGTGAAAACGTACATATATAATAACGTGCGTTATATTAACAAACTATAATAACGGTCTGGCTGCAATCGAGGCTGCGTGACGTTTCGAAACGAACTACAGATACACAATACTTGTCAAGTCGTTCCAGAAAAGCTTAGTAGTCAGAAATCTGCCATGATGCACAATATTCGCACGCATACCGATTCCACATAACAGAGAGACATGTCATAAATCATCCCAATGGGGGGATATGCTTTCTATCGTGCTTGTTGCTCGAGAGTACGTTCCGTGTATATCGCTAAAAAACGCATGCTTTGACTGGGGGTACGAGCAGCGAAAGAAGAAGCACTTTGCATACTTGCGAAATCCATTATACGACTCGCCCGTGGAATTTCTTCTCGATCGGTTAAAAAGGCCAATGTAAGGGGGGAATTACATAAAATTGAATTTCATTACATTGAATTTATTACAATAAAAACTATTAAATGCATCATTATGAAAGTTTCAGTACTTTATATTTATCGTTTAAAGTTACGGAAAACAGTTTTTTTTTAATGCCAGCTGTAAATGGCGCTATTAAAGGAAGTTGACAGGAAGAGAAAAACTATTCCAAAAATAATCCAAACCATAGTCAATGAACCTGTATCTTTAATGAAAAGATTACACCGCCATCGTGCTTCATCCCACGATCGTATAATGGATTTAAACGGATCCAAGCTCGGATCGTTTTGTTCGAGAAAAAAGCGTCACATTCCGTGGTTGAGATTTCTCTGTCGCGAAACGAGGTCGAGAATATTGGTGTTGTTCGATATCCTACGACGAAGATATGAAAACAAAAAGAAAGACCAAACGAGAAGCGCCAATTCGACCTGGACGTTGTACGCTCTGGAAATTGGAAAGTGACGATTGTATATACAGGGTGAGTTAATGAGAACTACTATTTAAAATAACTAATAATTAGTTGTATCAAAAAACGTTTCAATGAATTATACAGCGTTTAAGAGATGCACCGGTTTGATACAATTTGATTTTTTTAATCTTATTTAATTTTAAATATCAGTGACCTTGAGTTTTTTCAAGGTCAACGCATCTTTTTTTCTAATACCATCATGCTATAGATCGTTGAATTCGTCCTTCTATTGGCAACAACGTGGTAATAAAAAAAATACGCACTGACCTTGAAAAAACTCTTGATATCTCAAAATAAAAAAATAAAATATAAAATAATCAAATTGTATCCATTCGTGTCTCTTGAAATAAATTAAATATTATTTAAAAAGGAAGTTACTCGTTCTCACTTCAATACTTTGAATCTTAACTTAAATAAAATTTCCTAATACTATGTCAAAACTTTTATTTTTGAAAATTCTTTTCGTTCCGAAATGATAGGTATTCCCCTGAATGTCTGCAGCTTATTGTTTAATTATATATTAAATACCCCCTAGGTGGTGGGAATAACGCCGTTGCTCGTGTCGCATTCATCGAGGAATCACTGTACTTGAATAAAAAAACAATAAATAGAACTTTATTTAAACAGTTTTCATGGTATCTGAAATAAAAATTGTAACATAATTCAGGCTTTAAAGGATTAGATAGACCACGTGTTGTTGTGCGTTTACCAGACCATTCCGGTTTCATGCTTCGTAGAAAATTGGTGAACTAAGTGTGAAGTGTGTGTGTACCTACTGTCCGCGCCTGTTTCTTGCTCTATTGCAGCCACAAACGAACCAAGGAGAAAAAGTTGAAAAGATCAGTGAGAAAAATGAACGGATTATTCGATTCATATGTATCAAAAGTCGCGTAAGTATAACTGGCTGTCTAGAAATGAAAATCGTCTGCCATCCGAGCGAGTAAACGTTCGATAAGGGGAACTAGCGACTATATTCTAAGTTTCCTCGCAGGCATGGAAGCAATGCGAATGTCCCTTCATGCCGTATCACTTGCTGTTATTATCGTCATTTTTTGTTTCTTTGTTTCATTTCGCTGGAAAACATTTTTGATAAATTTTATACAATGGTAAAAACGATTACACGTTTTTACAAACTGGATGGTCATTTATTCCGCACAGGTAAAGACACGATCGAGGTATGGGTGCCTCTGTGGAATTGTTGAATTTCGTTCGATAGGGTCATATTCCACGTCAAATCGATCACTTTTAGCGGTCGACGTCAGAGATTTCGTTCAAAATGAAATATAGTATAGTCCAGGTGAAATCAGGTGGGGTTTAAGTCATCATTTTTCTGTTCTCCAATTTGTTTAAAAGATACAGTAGTGTCTCGATGAGTGCGACGAACTTGGGCCCGCTTCGAAGCATTCGTGGCAAGGCATCGATATTTCGTATCGATACATGTTAATTGTATCGATATTTCGTATCGATACATGTTAATTGTATCGATATTTCGTATCGATACATGTTAATTGTATCGATATTTCGTATCGATACATGTTAATTGTATCGATATTTCGTATCGATACATATCGGAGGTCAGAATATCTATACGGCTAAAATATCAGAAACGAAGTATCGATATCGTCAGTATCGATTATCGATACTTTTAACTCATTATTTGTAATCTGTACTAAAAAAAGGCTTAAATAAATGGCTATAAAATGTTGTTATATGTTGATTGTCCATTGTCGATGGCCTCAGTGTGGTTTCAATTGTTATTTGCCATTATCGCTACCTGATATAGAATTGTCTCAACTCGAGAAAATGAGAAAATGTAATACACTCAAATGAATGAGAACAGTTTTGTAGAGTTGTTTCGAAATTCCGATATTCATGCGTCAAGTGTCGATGCAACGATATATCGTCATATTAAGAATCGATACAAAATATCGATATTTGGAGTCAACAGTATCGATACTCCGATATATCGATACTGTATCGCCCATCGCAAAGTGCTGTCGTCGAAATTCTATATTCTTGAATCTATTCGAAACATTCCGACGAGTCCGACGATTCATTCAATGATTTTAGAAATTCCGAATCGAACGAGTTCAATCAAAACGCGAAACAGACAATGGTACGGCATGAAAGAGAAATCTCGGTCAGATTTACCTGAGACGAAGAATGCTCGAGACGTTTTAAGCCTACCCACTACCGTCTTTTCGCATGCTACAAGACTGTGTGCAAATTATTTGATTCGATCCATTGTTTTCTGTTCTTGAACATTTTTTTACGAAATGACAAAAGATCATTGTGAAAAAAAAGGAAAATATTTGTTTCCTTGTGTAATAGATAGAAAACGATAAGAAATTCCGTGGAAAACTGTTTCGTACCTTCTCTTTCTTTCCACGAAAAAGCACAGTTTTCATCGTAAATGATCACACTATTCGACAAATTTTAATTATTTTCCTATTTTCTAACTTTCGAATACACGTTTCTTACAGATGTTTACAAGCCGAACACGAATTTGTAAACCGTCTTTCTTCGTAGAAATTAAGTTCTTGAAAAAATTATTTTTTTTTAAAACTGCAAATTTTCAACTTTGCTGATGTTTTGTGCTGTTACAGTGATAATTATTCAGTTGCTTTTGGCACGAAACAATTTTCTGGACTCTCACGAATAAAATGATTGTGAATTGTTATTGTACTATAGACACCTGTATATGTTTAAATAATGATTAAAGTCAAAAGGACATCCGAAATAATAACAATATAATAAAATATTAAAAATCGTATTGAACGTTGTTGTAACAACACGTGCAAGTGACACGTCGGTCGAAGTTGTAAAATGTGCAATTAAGTGGAAATATTTACAAAAATTTATTGTAAAATAAAATATTGTTAATAAGACGTCGTTTATGAGAGAAAAAAAAATGGTTCTTCCGGCTCGAGTCTAATAATCTGCACGCCTCTGTATCGGACTGGATAGACTTCCCCGTCTAGAAAAATCTAATGAAATCGACGTAACCGACTAAATCGTTTTACTAAACTACTCGACTAAATTTTAGTATCTAAAGACGGTAAGTTACTAACTTACTCGCCACTCGACTAAATTTAATGGACGTGTGTGTGAACCAGCCTTAACCTTTAACTGGTCGAAATGGAAATCTTATTCCTTACTACTTATTAAACAAATCTTACTATACACGAATCTGATCGCTAATTAGTAGACTGCGAATGTTTATGCATTTATAGGATCTCTTACGAAGTTTATTTCCATAAACTTCCGCAGTCCATTCATTAGACAACTAGGGTTGTTTTGCATTCTCATTTCGAGAAACTATCGGAATAAACAAGCATCTGCATAAGTAATTTTTATTCGAATAAAATCAATAAATTAATCGAAGAAAGATAAAGTATTCGAAAAATATTCGCGAGGTTCCTTGGGACTCCACCTTACCAGTTAACGGTTAACGCGATCGGCTGCCGCGCCTAACGACGCACAATGGGACGAACTATGGAAGAATTGGGATATGGACCAAAATTTCAATTTTGGATTTTGACTTTTTTTAACTATCCTACTGTAATCTTTGGGCAATAACGAACAAGGGATCGCAAAGAAAAATTTTTTTTAAGTAGTTTAAAACCTAATTTTTCAACGATTTATGCGTACACTTTTCGAGGCACTTATCCTTTGAATTAAAACATTTAATATTTCAATTTAAAACATGTTTTTCATTTATACCGTGTTATTGTACACATATTTGGCTACTGACTATCATTCAGAAATGTAGAATTTGACGATTAGTTTTGGAAATTTCGCTATTTAAAAACAATCTTACGTTTTTGTTGATATAGTAAAAAATCCGAAGAGTCCCACAGAATTATTTATACCAGGTTAATACCCAAAGTCTCTATTTTAAGATCCTGTAAAAACATTTTGCGTTAACCTGCAATCTTGTGAATAAATGGTGTCTATAGATGGTGTCTATAGATGGTGTCTATAATGTCGTCTGTCAATTCGATTTCCCTCCTATGTATTTAAATACGCTCGTTGAATTAATGTTACGCACAATTTTTACAGTTTCGTTATTGTAAAAATAATATGGAATGATTCAAAGGAATTTTTATTTTATCCGTCAGTCATCATTATCATTGATTTCAAAAATGTTACCCTAAAAATAACATCAACTCTTTTTAGAGCTACCACCTATTTAACACAATGGAAAACCTCAAGTTCAATTACTTAACAAAAAAAAATGACTGTTAAGAGTAAAGTTTTTAAATATATTACTTAAACAAACGATTAAAACAGTTGAATACTTCATTCAAAAACACACAATTTAAAAAGAGTTATACAGACGATTAATTGTTTAAAAGAAAATTGAATGTCCAGAGATTTATCCGTTTCGTCCTACTGTGCGACGCCCCAACCGCCTTTTCGCTGACAAAATGGCCGGCGGTTCCCGCGCAAAATTCAAATCAACGCGGTGGTGAGAAGAACAGAGAAAGAGACGAGCTCTACGGTTGCGTCTAAAGCGGTTCCAAAAACGAACTGGTGTCGTGTCAACGGACAAACTTTTTGGTGTGCTTCTTGATAATATTAACCCTCCGTGATCCACGTTATTTTTACTTGCTTCCGTCACCCCTCTGAATCTTTCATGTCCAGACGCATTTTATAGGTTATCTTACAGGGTACCAAAAAGTCGGAAAAAATTCAGGAATACTTCCCAGGGTCTCTGCTACACGATCTGATAGTTTTTAAAATTAAAAGATTTATTTTTTAGTAGCAATCCCTTCGTTTTTGTGACATTTGAGCGTGAAATTTCGCTTGTGCCATAAAAGACCCAGAGAGGGGTCACGGAGGGTTAAGGATGAAGAGGGTTGGAAGATTAGGGGGTTGTTAAGGTGTCGGATGTGGGGAGGGGGGCAGTGCATACACCCAGTGGACTATACACATCGAATAAAACCGTGCATCGTTTGCCGTAGAAGACGGAAACAATTATTGACGGAATAAGGGTGCAACGGTTAAGCCACACGGGGGTGACGAACATACAAAACGATTACACGAGTCGGTAAATAGTACCGCGGAAACGATTTCGATCAGACATTATCGAATGAAACATCGGTAACAAAGATGGTTGCAAGAAGAATGTACCGATGACAATTTCACATGAATAATATCGTAAACGGAAGAACGGTTAGACCGATTTTCGTCGCACCCACCCCCCTTTCGAAGGATAACTCGCTCTCGACAGCCCATTGGTGTATGTAATGCCGTCTGAGGAATGAACGTTAGTGATCGTAAATACCTTCGTAGTACAAAAGCAACACTCGAATTCGCTAGGTATTTCATCGTTTTTCTCGAATTTTCGGCTGTCTTTTTTCTCTTCATCCTACAATGTCACACACACAATTTCCTATTTTACTTTTCACGTTTACGACACACGGTGCCAGGCGGTCGGAAGCGATCGGATCATTTCGTTCACATATTTTCTCTCTCTCTTTATTTTTCTATTTTGTGAGGTCCTCCATTTCGTGAATGTTTCATCGATGGGGAATTAAGTTAATTCTGTTTTCAATTTCACATAATTATGTAGAATCGTGTGGAATTAAATAACTGAGATTAGAAGAGAGAGAGAAAAAAGAAGGTACGATTTTTTCAAAATTGTAGATCAGAGTTGTGCGTAAATTGATTGCTCACGAGCAAAGTAACGGCTCAAACTTCCCCTCCCGAGTCACCCCCACTATGGTCTGGGTTAGGATTGACTATCGCTCGAGTCGTAGCAGAGTAACTACTATTATAGGGGACCAGTATTGCTAAATTTCTTACAAGATTCTCGTAAACACTGTTGCCTGAAATCCCTCAAAATCGCAAAAATGGCTGTAAACGAAAATCTTGGAGGTGCTATTAACGCGGGATTTTCAAATTATAGTACTTTTCTTTAGTATGATACATTCGGAAAACATATACAGGGTGAGTAACCTAACGTTTGCACCTCAAATATCTTTACTTTTCTTGAATGTTTATGTGACCTTGAATGACCTTGAATAATTATAGTCACTGAATTCCTAATGAAAGGGACTATCATTGTAGGTGTTTAAGAAAGGGTGGTTCCATTTAAAAAATGTAGGTGACCTTTATATCTCTAAAAAAAATGACAAAACCAGAACATTTTTCGTATACAGTGTGTCCCACGTAACGTGAGCACCTTTAGTATCTCACTTGCCTTTGATTTGCAGAAAATTTATTTTAACAAATGCTCAAAGTTATGTCCATCAACTTCGACACATGTTTACACTAATCTCTCTATCGTAGTTATTTTATTATTTAAATCTATTCTCACACATTTGTCGATTTTTTGTACTCAAGGTCACATGAATGTCACACTATTATAGATCATTGGGTTGGTCTTGACCTCAACTATTACACTAAGATGATAAAAATATATAGTCCCATTAAAAAATAAATGACCTTGAAATTTCGAAAGATATGCCCTTGAGAAAACTTTTTGCTTATCCATAATAAATACTCCTTCTGACCAAATAATACTTCACCTCGCATTTTTTGTATCTTCAAAAACAAGTGTGATATTGAAGGTGCTCACGTTAGGTGGGACACTCTGTATCTGGTTCTATATGACGTCATTTCGTCCCTGTACGCGTTAATTAATTCTCCTGATCAATGCTGGCGAGCAATCAGTTGCGCAGCTCTGTTTGTAGATCGTGGATCATGATTCGGCCAATGGGGTGGAGGTCGGATCGTCACGAAATTATTCGAGCGCTTCTCGAACGAGCGAACATGTCCCGAGTAATCCCTTGAAGCACGCGTTTCACGTAGATTTATCGTCCCTCTTAAGTAGAAAGATCGAATAAAAGTTTTCCCAATGGATAAATTCATTATTTACTTTCAAAAATGGAACTGGAAACTGCCTTGGCTTGGTGCTTCAAAGGGTTAAACGAGGCGACGTATGATCACGTGGAGCCAGAGAGAGAAAGAGAGAGAGAGAGACATTTATATACTATATACATATACAGAAACACATATTTCACGTGTTCAAAGGGTGAAAAGGAAAACGTGATGTTGAATCTATTACAGAAAGGAACGGTGTGTGATACGTGGATTATTTCGTAAATAACGGTATTAAATGTAATTTATCGTAGAGAAAGATACGATTGTTAAAAGAAATGTGCAGCCATTTTTGAAGTGCAAAGATCGAAATATGTAATATGTAATCCTGTACTTTAGACTTTTGACGAATAGCCTGGGTGTTTTGATGAAAAAAAATCGAAGTGTTATATTGAGTAATCGATAAAATGAAATGTATCGAACAAGAGATACAGTGTTCCGTCGATTATTGTCAAGATAGCGTCGTGACAAGTATCAAACAGGAGAAATGCTTCGGATCCTCGTATATTTGTCTTTTACTCGAAGCCCAAGCTACGGCCACAAAAGTGATGGCGCCCTGACAAAAATCGTGTAAAACCAATTAGACAGTGATCGATGGGATACTGTACTAATTTCTTATTCGAACGTTTCATTGGACCATAACGATATGGTTGACAAAAATTTCTCGATTTCTCCGTTGAAACTTTTTCTGTCAATGTCCACGGACCATTGGTAGATAATAGAGATAAGTATGTCCCTGAAGTATATTGTTTCGGTTATAATGTCTTCGGATACCGTTATTTATGAATTTTACGGACCGTGAGCCGTGATAAAACGTGTTCCACGAGGTACGTAAACCGAGTGACAGTGAAACGCATCGTGGTGAACAAGATACTGGGTGACTTAATAGGAACTATTACATAAAATAACTCGTTACCTATTGACTGTTACAGGAAACATTTCAATGAATTATGTACAATTTTAAGGGATTGATCTGAAGAATACAATTTGATTTTCAAGGTGACCTTGAGTTTATTTAAGGTCAATACATCTTTTTTTTTAATACCACGTTGTTGCCAATGGAAGGACGCACTCAACGACCTATAGCATGATGGTATTAAAAAAAAAGATGTATTGACCTTGAAAAAACTCAAGGTCACCTTCATATCGAAAAAAAATAAGGTATAATGAAATCAGATTGTCTCCATCTGATGCGTTCCTAAAAATGCTACATAATTTATTAAAACGTTTTTCATACAACTAATAGGTAATGAGTTATTTGAGACAGTAGTTCTTATTGACTCACTTTTTACCTCGTTATAATATCGGTCTTCTGTGTGGACGGACGTCAGAATTGCTTTTCGTTACTTACGCGGATTAAATGTTACGAACGAGGTACGAGAGCGGAGAAGTTAGCCAAACCTGCTGTTCTGTCTATGTCCTTTCTTTCCCCGATCCATAACAATTGCACATCGGATCGCCTGTTACAGATATCGTATCGAAACAGGCTGATCACGAAAAATTAACGAAACTCCTTGGAAATGAAAGATGAACGTAATCGTCTCGACGGTTTCGTTTGTTTTTTTTTTAATGTAAAGGTAAAAGGGTGTCCTCAAAAACCTCGAAGTCGTTAGCGTCGAACTTGAGTAAAGAATTAACGGAACACCCGGTATAGTGTGACACAAACCACCGACACGGTCAGAGACACTGATATAGGAGGCGCTTATCTTCTACTTTTTTTTGTCCTGTTGTTGCACATGAAACGCTATTTTTTGCATACAATTTTTTCGACATACCTTAATCGAAACATTATAGACAGAATAGTCTCTAACAAAGAACAAAACTGAAGGGCTTACAGACAGAGTTATTTCCTTTTCTACCCTTACGAGACTTTGCATTTTGCAATTACTCGTGAAATAATAGTGTCGTTTTAAGTGTATGTCCCTCCATGTACCTTGTTCAAAGCGTCATGTTTATAGACAGAGCTATTCCTCTTTCTATTTTGCCATACAAGACTCTAAACTTTCAATTACTCGTGCAATAATATGTCTCTCCATGTACCTTGTTCAAAGCATCGTGTTTATAGACAGAGCTATTCCTCTTTCTACTTTGCTATACAATTCTCTAAACTTTCAATTACTCGTGCAATACTTTTTTATGTGAATGTGTGTCTTTTTATGTGAATGTCTCTTCATGTACCTTGTTCACAGCGTCATCGTGTTTATAGACAAAACTAGCCATGTTTTTACTTTTTTGTCTTTCCATGTACCTTGTTCAAAGCATCGTGTTTATAGACAGATCTATTCTTTTATCTACATATTTGTTATACGATATTCTAAACTCCCAATTGCTTCTGAAATAACAAAGTCTTTTTACGTGTATATATTTCCATGTACCTTGTACAAAGTGTCGTGTTTATAGACAGAGCTATGCTTCCCTTCACTTCCTTGCCATACGGGACTTTAAATTCTCACTTACTCGTACGATAACAGTGTCGTTTCAAGTGCACATCTTCCAATATATCATCTTCAAAGTGTCGTGCTTATAGACAGAACTATTCCGTTTTCTGCCGTTCCCTCGCGAAACAAATGTCAATTATTCGCCAAACAATTGTACATTTTACTATTATTTTTTCCAAGCACCATGTTACATTTTTCTTTCGCTATCGTTTTATTTCACCCCACTAACTGCAATGGTCCAACTCCGATCCACAGGAAAATATTTCCAGGAACAAGGTAATACACGATAAACAGGTGCCACGTGAATTGGTCTCAACCGTATAATGAAACAAACATTTTCGAACACGCGTGGTCATTGTGGGGTATCCATCGACTATCAACCTCGAGGTTCCATCGAACGGAGCGGAAAAACGTGTCAAATCATAAATCTTCATAGTGTCGGATTAGAAATGAACGTTTTTTTTTTATTTTGATTACAAGAAGAACGTTTTCTTTCTACTATAAGAATGGAGTTGTGTGGTGTTTACAATTAACCCTTCGCTGTTCCTATGGCCGGGTCACCGACGACCCGGTCCACGAATGTATGTATACATTATGCGTATATACGTGCGTCCAATGAGACATTTTGTCACGGGTCACGATTAACCCAGTCGCCGGCTTCGACGGGCCCCGTATACACCGTCAGATTAAGAGGCTACAGAAGGTATCAGACAGCCAACACGAACGGTTTTTTTAGGTTGGATTGAAGAGCGCATTAATAAAATTCGAATCGTTCGCAAGTTTTACAGTTCTTTACTGTGGTTATAACGCGTATTTTAAAATAAAAAAAAAACCTCCAAAATACACGATGCCGTGGAGCTGTCGAACACTTATCGATAATCAACTGTAGTGGTTCCACTTCAGGAGACGTGCAAATGGTTTCAGTTTATTAGTCACTTTGCGATCCAATCCCCCGAAAAGAAAAACCTTTAATTTCAGCAGTCCAACGCCCTCTGTATGCACCCCCTTGAAATACGATCGAGAACAGATAAAAATTACAACTGCCCAG